ATTAGCGATGTACCCTCTTTTATAACAGAGTAGAATTGTATATGCACCTTAGCAAAGATCATTTTTGTGTCGACACGTTTCCGGCAGGTGCAAAAGAGGTAATAGAGATCTTGATCAATATTTGGCTAGTCCGCGTAAGACCGCGTCATGCGTTTCCTGCCAGGCAAACGAGACTAAGCTTGCTAAGGTTCCTCAAGAAAATGTTTGCCTTCAGTACGATTTAGTCGTTCATTTCTAAATACTCGTTTTTTTAATTTAATGATTCATGTGGGAAACAAAATTTGTTTTGTCGTAGCATTTCTATCATTTAAAATTTTTCTAAGTGATCTCTGTAGGCACTGATTATTGAAACAGCACCGTTGAGTATATCAGTATGTATTCATAGTAGAGAAGAAAGGGTTTTTTTTTTACAGGATGAGACATCTAAGCCCGAATATATTTGGTGAGTTGTTTCTGAGGCGGCATTTAAACATAAACAGGCACTTTAACGAAATACCTTTTATCGACTTTAGAGGTGTTGTTCCTGGCGATCCCGGACAATTAATATAACCACTACTCACCTTAGTTACAGCTTCGATCTGCGATCTAGACCACTAACCAATAATTTTTAAAATATTTCTTTTTTATGACTCATTTAATATTTTTCCCCATCCGCAAATAACTCAAACGATACCGCCAAGCGTAAACTTGTTAAAGTGTCGCTCAAATACGCTACATATGAAAAATTCCAGTGGATTAAAATTTTAGAGTGATACTAAGCCGAAAATCTTACATACATAAAGCGTCGAAACGGCCAAAAGGTTTAAGAAGTCTAAAAAGTACAAATGCATTTTAAAAAAGCTAACCGTTAGAGCTTATCTGAACGCACTAGTCGGCAGTCGATGTTCTCCTTTCTAGAACGTTATTTACATAATTTATTTATCAAAAATATAGGTATATTAAAAATGTTTTTTGAGCCATTTGGATACATTTTTGTTAATTTTTTGGGCCCTTTAAATTAAAACTTTATTGAAGATCTCTCTGCTTATCTCGTGGAAGTTCTCTTCCTATTTTTCGGCAACCGTACGAGTATAGCGATATCGTCAATCCTCAATTTCGAAAAGAAATTGAAGTCTAAATCTTCGTGGCGATTCGTCTAGCACTAGGATAATAGCTAATCTTCATTAGAATTCCGAAAACGATGCACTGTTTTTTGTTATGATAATTTTGTTATTTTTTTCTACAAAAAACCGTTTTTTTCCCTTTTGGTACCGAAAATAGCGGATGAACTTAAACCCGCTGCAATGAACAGCCCGTTAGAATTTGCTTGGATTTAAATGCGCCACTCTGACCTTCATGGACGAAGGTAATGACTTGGCAATTGAACCATATGAAGCGTCAGTTTGCCCAAACTCAGTAGTTTGCCTGTTTTCTGTTTCAAGGTCATAATCTAGTAATAAAGTTATAATATAGTTGCTTAGCATGCTTTGTTTTACTGGCGGCATCGATAAATGATCGATGCGAGTTTGTGTCGTATTTTGCACCAAGCAAAGCACGATCGAAATATTTAAGGTTTTATGCTTCGTCGTAAACTAGGCCAAAATTAACTTTATTCATTTTAATAGCAAAAATGAAGTAGACTCAAGACTTTCTTTTGAAATACGTTTCAGTGTCTTTAACTTGCCTCTTCAGCGACATGCCTTGTAAGTATTGTATGAAGATACTCAACAAACGTTGCACATTGACACTTTCACTAGAAAAAGCTATAATGTACTCTCATAATTGATATTTTTGAAAGAAATCGAATTTTCTCTGGATTGCATGCTTAAAGTTTATAAAGCTCTTTTTGAACCCGCTTTAAGCTGCGGCATCACAATTGGGGTCGGAGGTTATACCAAAATCACGTGCCGTGCTGAAATAATGCAGAATGACGTCCTGAAACAATGTAGAGAAAGGATTTCCTACAGGATTTAGATATGCAACACTGAGCAACCTTGCAACCTAAAACAAACTGTGATTGAGGCCAGAGCGTCCCACTACACTACTCGGCAATTTACGGAATACCGCAATAGAACAGTACGCCAGAGAAATTTTTAATGATTTCGTTGTTTGAAAAGGACGGTGTTCCGTCGCCGCACTATGGACTACTGCATGTTAAAGAACAACGAAGAGATTCGAGAACTCGGCTAAAAATACTTTTGTAAAATATTTTTCAAATTTTTCAACTTTTTATTCCTCCAAGGCACTCTGAAATGTGTTGAACATTAACGAAAGAATTAGGCAAAGAGGCCGTGCATAGAAAAAAAAAATGTTTAAAAAAATGGAAATCGGAGTGTTGAAAACTAGCGAGAAGATAATCAAATGTGGGGACTTGAAAATAATGAAAGAAATCAGAGCCTGAGGTTTCAAAGCTCTGTCGGCCGGAACTAGCATTCCACATACAACGTGTAAAAGAATTATAACCCCAATACTAAACATGCTAAGTGAAAGTGGGTCCCCTATGACCCAAGACCAATTGGAAATGCATGTCCTGTATTCCAGGCGCAATTTGCGGAACTTTCGTACCTTCGAACTTTTCGAACAAAAAAATTCGTCTGGAGCGCACGATCGCCGCAGATGAGGCATGGTTATCCCCGTCATAGTTTAATAGATAACGTATTTGTCTGTTAATCATAAAAACGTTGTGGTCTAGGTTTTAATCCGGGCACACTTTGTTTCTTGTTGGAAGCCGGCTGTCTGATGGGATGCCTAATGGCGATACCGGATGTAATATTTGAAACATAGAGAGACGAGACATGGTTCAATTTTTACCGGTAGCCGGAGAGGCACTAGCGCGAAAGTGGCGCTGAAGAGAAGTCGAATTCGGTGACAGTGTCTATGTAAAATGATGGTAGTACTTGCAACGGACGTCAAGGGCATTCGCTACTATAAGATACTCCCCGAAAATGAAATAACGAATGAGCCCACTGTCTCAAGTTTCTTAAAAGACCCACGGACCGCTAGGACGGCAATCGAAAGCACGCGGTATGGTTACTTGATGACAACACCAGTCCTTAATTAGTTCCTAGACAGAGCCAAAAAGCATTTAACATTGGCTTACCTGCTTATTCTACCGATTGAAGTCTGTGTGATTTCGGGGCTTTCTAAACATATATCACTATTGATTTTCTTAGAAAGGCTATAGATATAGAAATTACGTACGGGAAGCCAAATGCTAGAAATATGGTTATTGAGAAGCTAGCAGAGAACTGCGACGTGTGTTAAAGAAATATGTAATAGATTAGGATATTTCTCTACGAAGTAGACATAATGCATTTATATTAAAATTCGTCTTCTGGAAATTATTATTAAGCTATGGCTGAAATCCAAATAAATAAAGATCTGCAATAAACGTTGCTTTATTATCACCAGGCTATGAAATAGAAAACAGTACATTTTTTATTCCTGTAACAGTAAATTATGTATCCCCATCATTGTTTAAGATCTGGTTAGACCCTCAGCCTCTCTCCTAATACTATCCATTCCAACTTTTGGTTTACGTTGACATACGAATAACACTTCTTGTCATCAGCGACAATCCTGTGCAAAAAACGGTTATTGTAGCCGTCCGGCGCTCGATACCGAGCGTCCTATTGAAACGGAATGTTAAGCTGTAACTTCCTATCAGATTCGAATATACCGTGAGATACCCAAGCTCCAAATTTTTTGTGTGAACTCAATGTCTTGGGTCTCAGATGGTCGCACACAGCGGGGCATAATCTTCTGGGCCCCGGATATCATTTTAGAATTTGGCTAACTGTTCTTGAGCAGCCCTTTTAGCGATGGCGTTGCCACCGTAGGCATAGCTTTTAATATTACCAAAGTTTCAGAAAGTTAGTATAACTCGCGTTACTGTATGTTCATCTGATCTGACCTCAAAGGGTGAGGTTACATAGAACAGCTAAGCTTTTTTTTTCATTTCATCGAACTGCTGTTGAGTAGTAAAGAAGCAAAGTAACCGTCTCGTTTTTCTGCCACGGTTTCCACTGTCTAGAGCTACATTATAGAGGCAAACTGAGCGCGGGTTACGATTTATAAACGTCATTACATGATCACCCCGGGAGCTATACGGATTAAGTGAGGTGGGGCTATCTGGACCACCGCATTTTAAGCATGTATGAAACCAGAAAAATTGGAAGAACTAAGCAGTCTTGTAGCACAGCTCAAATTATAATAAGATATCGTATTTTCGCACTTGTCGTTGTTATCAACAAATTTAACACATAGTTCGGACAAAAAAGTATTACCGACATATGCACCACATGGCGCGTAAATATGATTACGGATCGGAAGTTACGAATATTTATACCATAACATGCATAGACATTCCTCGCACAGAACGCAACTGGTGAATGAACGTGTACTTAGATCATTCAAAAGCTAGTTTCATACTGTGCAGCAAGACTTTATGTGAACTTATAGTTGACCAGTTATAACTTTCGACCTTGGCAGTAAATCAATATAAATCATTGTGTTTTTTAGCCATTGTCAGAGCGCTTGGGAAGAAAGTATTTTCTACATATAGCCGCACTTCTAGTCCATATAAATTTGCCTTGCAACGCTAGGCATAATTAATTGAGACCTTTATTGAAAAGTAGTAATTCTAATGAGCCCATTTAGTCGATATAATATAGGAATCTTTGACAAATATACTAGTGTATTTTTCTCCAGTTGCAGTGGTTGTTTTCATCAATAGCACAGAGCAAATTTCGGCCCATCTAGCCTCGCTCTTCCGGGGCTAGTAATATAGGAGTTAAATGGGGCAAAAGTCACGAGGCAGGTGAAAAGTTCAGTGTGTATATATATTATAATGTATGTATATACAATATACAGTATATATAGGACGTTCTCAAAGAAGGATTGAAATGATAGTGACTGTATTGGAGTTTTTACACTTTGTGCACAAAAGTTACTCTCGGATGATATTTATACGATCGTAGCAAAGATACTATTCATTATCAACGTTATCATTGTCTTTGCAGGATTCTCCAGTCGGGACTCCAGTCACCTTGAAGGTGGATAACAAGGGATTCTATTTGTTCTGGACCGATCAGAACAATGTAAGTACTATATTCGCGCGATATTTAATGAGAACCTGTTTTTTTTTTTAACTCATCTCCATGTGTGATGAGACCGAAAATGTACTTTTTTTTCTTTATTTAGTACATAGTATATTTAGTAATATATGTCGTTCCAAGACAGACAGAGCAATAATAACGGGCAAAAAAGTTTAGCTTCGAGTCGCTAATTCAGATAAATGTTCTTACTTGAGCTTCGATGAAATTAAGAGTATATGACTAAGTATCGAGCTCCTCGTTTTTCGTAGGTACTTTCAAACGCGTTACGAAGGGCAGTTCAACGCCTCACTACGGCATTCCCATAGGGATTATCATGCATCAAAACATATCTTATCCGACCGACTTCAGTTGAACCTACAGAACGCAGTGGAGCCCATATTAAGGTTGAATATGGGTCTTGCCCTTTTTATATGCCACTTATAGGCAACTTCTCTTTATAGCCATGGCAGAAACTAACGCTTTTGCAGTCGCCTTCAGAATGTGGCCGCAAAAAGATTTATACATTACAATAAATGGAGTCGTCTCGAGATATTCAAATCATGTGATAAACTCAACAATACGATTGCAAACAACGGGCTTTCTAATGCCTCTATGTGCTTTTCTGTGCGGCTGAATGTAGCAAATAACATAGGACTATTTAGGCAAAGGAAATTATTCATTTTTGGGTGCATTTTCCTAGCCGTCGCAACTAAATTGATGAACAGCACCAACAACAGTAATCAGGTTATTACTTTGTGGAATGTCAGTAGCTTAGCCAAGAGGTGCGAGTTCAATGACTCCATGGTCGCAAGGTTCTTTTCGAGTATGTCCTAAAACAACATTTCAGTGAAGATCCCTGCTTGGGCTAGGCTAGTGGGAATGGCATTTCTAGGTGCCATGTCAACAAATGCATACAGCTGGCTATTGCCGCGATGTACAAATCGTACCTCTTCTGTTTCAATTGCACGTACAGGGGATGCAGAGATACGAGAAGGCATGCCACTCACAGTAAATTTAGACTTTGGTGTCAAGGTAATTGACGCGACAGCAAGCGAGCCAGCAAGTAATATGAGCAACTTATTTTTGCTGCTCCACACCAACTACTGGATCGCCATAGATTTTCTGCGTCTTTAAAAACTATCGATAGATTAGCTATGTACCAGTCATTCGATGTTATGATTTGCACACTCCAAGCATGCGTTGAAAAATACCATTTAACGGGGCACCGAATGTAATGCCGTTTTTAGATGTTTGTTGCGAATGCAGTAAGGACCACTGAATTTATTTAGCAGAACCAAACACCTTTCCGAAAGTTGGAGATGTTGCACAACAAACAGTTGTGCATAATTGTCAGTATGTCTATAGGGACAGTGTTCGTACTTGAAGACTGTCCTGGAAGAAGACTGTCCTGTTACTGAGAATGGAAGAGTCGACAGAACAGGATTGTGCTCCCTTATGGTGTAAATCTCTATGAAGCTGTTGACAGTTATCGAAGGCAGTTTCCGTGAGGCTCTAAGTAATTGTTTCATTCTAAAAAATCCCTTACAAGTGCTCAACCAAAATATGATTGAAATAAATGTAGGCTCGACGAACACCCGAAGAGGGCTGCTGCGACGTTAGTGGTCTAAATGTTAAGTGGCTCCATGTCGTAGCTTTGTACGTAGATATCTTTTTTTTATTTACACATTTCTATTACGGCAGCATAAGAGTCAGCGATGAACCTTCGTCCCCCAAAAACTGATCTTGGATTTTTTAAAAGGAATCAATACGTGATTGGATAGACCTCGCCTGAAACAAAGCAGGTATGTATTTCCCCGCACTCCAAAAGAATGCCGCACCTCAGAGCAATATGCAACTTTTCGGATTACTAAACTTTTAAATAGCTATTGTTGATATCCAATTTAAGGGTCATAATAACTTCGAGACGTTGGGTATCATTACTTGTGCATCCATTGTACACTTCCTTACTAGGATACTGAAGTGGTTCTTCCTGTGTCAGTTATGTTAGAAAGTCTGCATTGTTTACAGTCATCTGCGTATTTGGCCTTCGCATCTAACTTGTGCTTGAAGACACCAACCGCTGCTCTAATTTGTATTATCTTATATTTTTATTTAAAACATTTCATTCAGACTTGAGTTAATTTGTGCTAAATGATTATTATAATTAAATTTTTTTTGTACGAAATGATGAATATTATGAAATTGTTCTTTATTATTGATACTGTTTAATTCAGATCATTTTAGTGAGTTCTCGAAAAACTACTACTACAATGTGCATTCTCGAATGATGAATAATTATTATATGAGGTATCCTATAAGCTATTATAAGAAGTATCATATAAGAACTTGACAAGATTTTCTCAAAACGATACAGAAGGCTTCTGATATGACGTTCGCTGCTTTTTTTTTTTTTTTTTTTTGTTTTTATAATATAAGGGTTGAATGTGAGGGCGGCTGTTATTCAAAAATATTTCTTTAAAAACGTTACAGCTGTTCTGCAATACAAACTCGGCATTTTTGTTCGCCAAATCTCCAACATAAAGTTACGGAAACTTTTCTTGCTCTCGATATTGTTATCTTGGCACTTTTAAATGATCTTGCCTTCCTAAAACTAAATTGCAATTCATTCCACATTTGCTTCTCATATTTTACTATACATACATTATACAATACAATGAGGCTGTCCGGAACAAAAACGTTTATGAGTAGAGTGGTAATGTAATATGACAGTGATTTTTGGTCCGTTAGAGGCTCTTTTTATGGTTATTTATATTCTAGAGCTCCCATTCTTAGATGTTTTTTTAACTAGATGTATTTTCACCATTCTATATGTTTCGTTTGTTTTCTTTTACAGTGAAAGGGCCCGTTCTCACACTTGTTATATAGAAGTTATTAGAACTCGAACGGATACAGTTAGAATAATTGTACGTTTTAAAACAGGGACAATACGTATAACTTCGGAGAATACGAAGGTTAAGTTCTCGGCCGTTGTGAACAGTTTCCTACGTCTCCATCAAACGCTGTGCACAGTAGATTGCTACGTTTTCGTAACTTACTTTTTATTTTCTTAACAAATATCGTTAGCAACTATTATCGCTGCTCTGTACTCCACTGGTAAAACTGATACTGGTAGCTAAGTAGTAGTTTTCCACTGTCAAAGCCATAGTTTAGCCACACTGTTCCAAGAGAATAAACGCTTATCAGTTGTCAGGCTTAGAGTTCGATGGCCGGCGTACTTCGGATGAATCCTATATTGAGTAAATGATGCCTTTATCTAAAGCAGATGTGTATAATCGTTTCAATAAGTCCAAAATCAGCTGTTCCGAAGACCCCTGCTGTGACCAGAAATGTAACAATCCATCTTCACTGGAGCCTCCCGCTTCGATTAGGAGTATTAATAATTTCCGTCTGTCTTTATGCTACTAATCCAGCTAGTCTGAACATCAAATTTTTTTTTACTTTTGGGGTTCGTTGTAGGAAACTGAGTACTTGGAAATCTCAAGTATTCGCGACACCCGCACGGGAAAGCATGCAAAGACCCCGAAGGAAGGCAAGCTCAGGGACTCCATCAATATTGGAGCAAAGGTGAGCTGAAATTCTACTGCACTAATATATTGCTTTTGATTGAATATTTTTAGAATGATTTCCACGCTAAAAGGCGCGCATATTTTAAGCAATATAAGCAACGCAATGTCTGTCAAGGGGAAAACGTTCTGTGCTACTGTGAAATCGTTAAAGTTGTATGATTTGATGAATATTTAATTGTGCAGATATAAAATTACCACGCTTCTTTTCTGGGATGCTATACATTTGAAATTGGCGGCGCAGACCGATAGACACACACGAGTATGTTACATACTGGTAGGTATAAACATTTAGTACATCTCTTTTTCTTACTATGGCCTCTATTGGGACTCTAAGAATGCAAGGTGTATACTGATTTTTTAGCTACGTGAGCCCATAGCTGAACAGGGCGATTAAAAGCTGCCTATTAGATTAAACTGAGACCAAAATAATTGTTGTCGTTTAGAGTTGAACGTTTTTTTGCCAGATCAGTTGATGATATAGTAATAAAGATCTATTCTGCACAAAGTATTTTCTGAAGGGATCATAAAACGATAAGTACAAAAATCTGAATGGAGACCGACTGTTCAGTAACACGCACCTCTGAATAAAAAAAACACTGAGGCCGTTACTTTTATTGCTTATTATTTTATTTTCATTTAAATTATCCTTTACTAAAGGTGATCTGAGGTAGTGATGCTTTCAATTACTAAATTAGCGCTTTCATTACTCTCTTTCTATATTTTATTATGTTGGTTCGAGCGGAAAACAAATACTGTAGAGGACCAGTATTACTATTACGAGCAGTACAAATGGTGGAATGGAAGAATCTTTGGCCACTGGATTTTCACTTTAAGCAGTTCTTCTCCCTTAGGCATCAGTCTAAAGGACAACAAAGTCAGTTTCACTATTATGCTTTTATTTCAGATGTCCTTCATCTTCTACGTTTGTCGTTCATTATGAATATATACCTGCCGTCCGTCATGTACAAAATCCATTTAGTTTTGTAAAATTGAGACTTGTTTGGTATAAGTAATTGAGCTATTTATTTTATATATTGATTTTTTTTCAATTGATTTATATATATTTGAGCTATACATTTACCTTTCCAAGTCACCCAGCATTAGCTCAATTACTAACTAGTAAAAATCATCTTTGTTCTATTGCATTTGATGTTAGGACGCATCACTGGAAGACAAAAGCGTCACGGTTGCGTATGGGGCAGATTACGTGAACGTATCGTTCATTAACTTCTGTTGCGGTTCCCGAGAGGTAATGCCCAAGCGCTAGGAGTACAAGTGTTTATTGTTTTAAATTTTTTTGACGTGAGTGTTGCGGTGTCAACACGAGGGTTTTGCCTCAATGTGATTGAAATGCCACTTGATGTTCACTAGAATAAAACGGCTTCGTTTCCTGTGGAGTTCTAGCTTTTACTTTAAGTAATAAAATGTATTAATAGTTGGTTAAGCAGGGACATACAGTACGCTGGCAGCAACGATATCCGCAACCTCTGCTTAGAACGAAACGTTAGTGACCCTGACGTATATCAATTGTTTTTATGGTTAGATATAACTGCGACAATATTGCTGTTTATATATTTGTAAACTTTAACAGATAGCCCAGTTATGGGCGGATGAACTACTCGTGATGGCGACGAATCTTCTGTTTATAAACGCACCTGTTATTTCCTTTCTGGAGAAAGCATTCACACGAATTCTGCTATCCACTGACAAAGATGGCAAGATACCTGTCAAAAGGTGAATTCAAGTTTTGTCTTTAATTATTGCTATTTTGTAATTTTAAGCATTATTTTAACTTATTGAGGTGATTCCTGCTGCGAGAACTGCATACTATTAAGCAAAATATTTTGCCATAAATCTGTTGCTTTCAAGTTTGATCTCTAATTTGCTAATGAATGCACGTAGCAAAAGTTATTGTAGTTTATTTTCCAACCTGAAGAAACAGTTTCAGGAAAAATACACACTTAATGTTCTGCCATTATTCAATAACTACCTGCATGTACGAGCTCCACATACCATAATCCGTACCTTACTTTTTAGCGATTTCGATTTTAGTATATATGTGTGCTGCTCGATTATAAAAAAATTATTACCATTTGCCTCGAACAAGGTAAGTTTTAGTGGCATAGTTCATCCTATCTTAAGGTTAATTCAATTTCGGTTAGCTTCCCAAGTCTTTAAGTTTCAAGCACAAAATACCAGCCATCCTTTACTCAGAAGTCCAAATTGTAAGGGTATTTTCGTTAATACTATAAAATAATTGATATACGAGACCAGCAAGCGCTTGAATTACACAATGTGATTCGTTGAAACTTCGAAATACAGAAGGTGATAGTCGGCGGCTGCAGGACAAAGCTCTGGCCCCAATTCGATCCGCAAAAATCTCCGAAAAGCTCTACTATCAGTGAGTCCCAAAGATAAAGGCGACGCGAAGAAGACTTCTAACTAGCAAGACATTGCTAAAAAGAGACTTTCGATTTACAGTTGATATGGTCTCTAGAAAAGCCGCACTTTTCAAGCCAGTCCACGCTAACTTACTTCAAAATACCGTGAACCTGCTTGGGGACATTCTCCGGGTAAACGAAGTCATTCTGGAAAATAAAGTCGCTGAGTTCGACCGTTCTTGGCAAACCCTAGCGGTGCTTCAACGATAATCTGAGCCTACTCCTGTTCTCAAAAGAACCACTGAGCTAGATTAAGGAGCGATATTCATTAGTCAGGTCTCCTGATCATATAACCCGTTGATAGATGCTGAGAGCCTCGCCTCATTTACTACGATCTGACACAATTTCCACTAAACATTAAGAACCTTCATATATTCAAAAGTTTCAATGCAAACAATAAAATTTCGCTGCGGGAGTACGTTGGCCGCGAAAGATGCTCTTCGGCAAGACGACATAGTAATTTAATACCATAATTAATACCTTGTACATAAACAATATGAACGTTACGATTTTTTTGCGAGAGCTGTCTACTAGAACAGCTAGTGGTCGCCAAAAAAGCAATTTCCGTCGAAGTACCCGGGTTTCCCATGTTGAATCATAAGTGATTTGTGGGATCTAGCGTACGAATGGGCAAGGCGGAAACAAACTACTTTACGGCCTAAAGCACAATTCGCAAGATGACCCTTTAGCAGGAAGCATTCGGGATCTGCCATAGCTGAAGTCGTTAATAAAAGGCTATAAAGAATACATTTGTTGTAAATATACTCACGGTGCTATTATTCTTTTGCGAAGAAACTACAGTCAATGAAACCGAACCATCAGATATGTTCTTTTGATAGATTAGTGCTTAACGTATTTGTACGGCAGTATAATAAGCTCGGACGCTGGCACACATGCAGATCGTTTCGTTCTGGAAGCCAGCCATTCGATGAACTTGAAACACAAAGAACCGTAGCCGCCTGGCATTGTGTTGTGTCGTTCGTATCTACTTTTAATATGAGCAGTTTTTTTTTTTGTGAGTTGATCATATCTTCAGCGGACTCTGTATTATGTTCCCTATGTAGACAGTTTGTCGGAGTTTCAACAGTTCTTCACTTGACTAATCGTACAGTTTACATTTTTTTGTATACACCTTTGTGCAGGATAAGGGTATAACTGTGTGTGATAACAATAGTTATCGTTGCTGTGATCGAATGATCGTAGCCACTAGATGGAGTGCATATAGGACTCGGTTAACGTTCCTCGTCATGTTTTGCGTATCTCAATCTAACAACCTCTTAGCTTTTGAAATGCGCGTTGAATAAAGGTCGGGCGAAATCAGGCAGTCAGGCAACTGATCTGCACTGGAAGTGTAGAGTACCTTTTGTCATCGTATTTTTCTCGTAGGAAATTTTTAGCGAAATCCTACGTCCTTTACAAGTCTAATCGATGGTTGTCAGTTTTATCATTTCGTGTAGCGTCTAGTGATAATTTAAATCACAGGTGGCTCAATTCAACTCAACAGCTGCTTTCGCCGTATCGGTAATGGCCATCGTCCCTGACTACGTACTTTTGGTGATTCTCTGTTCAAAATATAGGGCCGTCGTATATTTAAATAGGTTGTCTTGATACTGAACGTCTGGTTTCGGTGTTGGTAACGAAGGCCTCTAGTGACTTCACCACATTAGTCTCGTATTTGATGACGTTTCACTTAAGCACCGTAGCATTTCTCAATCGGTTTGTGCAGGCAACAGAAGAAGTAGGATGTTATGAATGCTCTGTCGTATTGTAAGCTGCCAACGTACCGCCAGTAACAATTTGAGAATTATCTTCGTTGCATATTGATCGATTTGCAAGGGTAGTTACTGGCTGGTAAAGGGGTAAGTCAAATCTACCCAGAATAATTGATTGAGATGTTAAGTGCTGGATTACCTTTGATATCTAAATCTATGAAGCATATTAGGGGTTCAGGTGTTAGTTCGAAGACCTTTTTGAGATCTTTTATGGTGCTTTCCGCTGATGCCTTTATTGAATGGTATTTTGTCGTCTACAAATAGGCACAATAGCACATAAGTCGACCCAAAGCTTGGGTTTGGTGCGATAGAATGGACGGGTCTAACGAGCCCTAAATTAGTCCTAGTCTTCGTGGGGCCCTAGCAGCAGGGCGACTGGCGCGATTCCTGGGGATTTCTTTTTTTGGTGACACATTCGGTCTGGGTTGTTCTTATAGTCGGGTAGTTGTCGAATATGGACGTGGGTGTCAGCTTCTAAGATGCTATACAGGGACGGGTGTAGATCGCCATAACCTCGAATCGGCAAACTGATGCCCTGCAGGATCAGCATTGCTTTATATCGGTTAACTTTTTCGTGCTTGTTAATCTTCACCTTGTAGATTCAATGTGAAAACAGTATATTTTCTCCTGCTGGAAGCGCCGGAGGTGTTTACACCTTGTGTCTCGTTCTTCATGGCCTGCATCCAGAATGTTCGTTGTTCTGACGTTATGGCTCCTTCGTGTATTGAGGGTTTTCATATGTTGCATAAGTATGCTTCGTATTGCGCCGATTTCCCACTCAGCTTGCGTTTTCTTCCTCCTTCTGGTTCAATATCTAGCTCATGAGTTCAATGTGTTTTTCGGATATAACATTCCTCCGATCTTTATTTTGCTGTTGTCGGTCGTGCCAGATATCCCATCTGTCGCAGGACTTTTGTCGGATTCTTCAGTCGTAAATCGTTTCGGCTTAATTATGAAGCTCTTAGTTGGGAGAACTACGTTTTTCGGTTGAGTTTTATGTTCGTTCCGCAGGTTGCTTTAGTAGGAGCCTATAGCCTGTATTTTCTTCGGTCTATTCTATCCGGAATGTCAAAATACCCCTGACGTCTAATTTTGACTTAGCAGAGTCTTTGTTGTAGACGTAGTATTGAGATAGAATTTCCGAATCTACGTAAAAATGCAAAATAACATAGGGTTAGTATATAGCTTTGTACGGAGATTTCATGAGCAAGTTCGCAGATCGTCACCGAGTTGAGCATCTGTGCCCAATTCGAGGCAATTTCTACCCATAAGAAACAGGAAAGTTTGCGTACCAGACTTAATACAGTTCTATTGATTTGCCTGGCCATGCGCTTTTGTCGGAGTCATCTGAAATTGAAAAACGTGTGAATAATATCAAGTGTGTTTAGGAGTCCTGGCATCTGAGAATCCTGAAGCTTGCATTTGCCATTGCTTCCCAATCATTTAGTCTCGTGAGAAATATGGTTACCGAACCATGAAATGAACTGCTATATGCACTGCAGGGTCTCTTTTTTTTTAGGAAATCGAGCTTCTTGTATTTCGAGCAAGAGTCGCTGATAATCATAAAATAGTGATCTATTCAGTAAGGTTGTTGATACCTGATACAGATGGATGGTAATATACTCTCCTGGAATTTTTGGTTGTAACTTTTTTTTTGGTCTATTCTTAAAGCTGAGCTCTCCCACCCACTCGCCCGAGCTATCACGTCGGTTGATAAGTGTTGAACAGGAGTTCTGGATTCGACAAGAAACTCGTTGCGTTAGATCATTCTTAACTTCGTGCTTTGGACTGGTGACAGGTTGTATTCGTCTCATTAAATGGCCTCTTCCATTAAAGCTTTAACCACATCGATATTGTGTTGGCACGTTCTACCCATCCGTTGCTTTCACTTCGTTTGTGTGTCTTATGCTCAATATTATTTGAATTATAACGTCAATTTGACACTCTTGTGTGTAGGTTTTACAGGTATTATGTTATGAATTTGGGATACGTCTGCTGAGTCGAGGCTAGCATAAAATAAAGGAGCGTGTACAGCTAGGTGCATTGCGTCTAGTAGGATAGATAACGCTGCCTTGTTGCCTACGTTGTACATTGTTTGAGAACAATGGGAGCTCCTCCTTTTTTGATTTCGGGATCTTAAAGGTTCGCGATGTCACATTCGATCCATGCGGTTGTCTGTGGAGATTTCCTGATTATACAGTATGCCACACAATATAATTTATACAAGTCGGTTAAAATAATCTGGTCGACGACCTTCTTTAATATGATTACTGGATTCCTCCACCGTAACTTTTGACTCAACACTATACTGAAGTAAGCTTTTTTTCGCGTTACTTCTTCCCTTGGATAACAACCGTTTTTTATAGCATAGTACTGACTTAAGCTTTCATTATCAGTGAAGCTAATCACGAGTATTGGGTACTCTGGTTCTAGCTCAGCGGTCAGGTTTGCTGCGATGAGCGATTACGACACATTCGTCGTAGAAAAATAGAACTTGAGCTTTAATTCCTAATATAAAAGGATCGGATAGAAAGACACAGGTCCAAGTGTGGATTTTGTGTCGTGCTTGTGCATGACACTTGTTGAAATGAGACAGAAACGCCTGGTTGTCCGGGCATCTTGAGAAGTTGCAATAGATCTGAGGCACTATACCTATTAGTTCATTACTGCGAAGAGAAGAGGACATCACGTACGAAGCACCAGCCAGACAGTCTCCGTATTGATTACCTCGCCACCAACCTTCAGTAAATTCAACGGTTTAGGTCAATAAACATTTTGAAAAAAACCTTATAATCTCTCCCTGCGCACTATGATACTGTAAGGATATTGACTCTGCAGACTTCCTACCGCCTTGGTTGTCCAAGGCGTCAACATAATAATCCTATGTGAAACCCTGGATTAATGTGCCGTTCAACGTACTTAGTTCTAGCCAGGGTACTTACCAACGACCAGATCAGAAGACAGCGTTCAGTGTGTGTGGAAGTCCTTAGTTTCGAAGACATCCTTGCTGCTCTAAAGAGTCAAAGGCTCAACGCATTAGCAAATTGTGTTCGACCAAGTTCTGCCCTATGATCAACAGTACCAGCAGAAAAGCTGACGCAGTGTTTTGCTTGACGGATACAATTGTGGCGAGCAACTTCAAGTCGAAATTAAATAAGCCAAGCTTCGGGTGATACCTAAACGGATTCAGAATGCTGGATTATAACCTACATTTACTAATTGAATCGCCCGCCATCGACGTTTTCACGACCAATGTGTCTGTCTACCAAATCGTGTAAGTCTACCTAAAGAACTTTTTATATGTTAAAAATTCATCCAGAAATCATTTACCCGTATCTCTGTAGTTTATAGCAGCCTCGAGGCGGAGAGCTCTGGTAAGACCACTAAATCCTAAAACCTTGAAAGATTTTAGAGCATCTCAATGATTCTTTTTGTCCACACTCCAAATCGACCTAACGTCAACGAGTACTTCATCGCAACATCTTATAACGCGACGATATATGCAGGAATGCTTACCGGACCCAAATGGCTGCCCTTCTACTAGCTGTAGTCTATGCAGGGACGCGAACAAGTCTACCGGACTAGGCAAAGGAGCCACGTCTATACCGTTCTTTTGTTTAAAGTGCTGCCGCATCCTTGTATCTGGTTACGATGGTTTGGATCTCCTGATTCTTCCACCAGATTAGATATCCTTGTTGGCCATTTTTGGTGGAGGTGCACTTTCACTTTGAAAGTGATACTGTAAGTAACACACTATGCCGGGAGAATTACTATGGTATCTTGCTGTATGAGAGGCAAACAAACCAGGTGGGGACTGCGATAATTGCCGATATCATGGTTCCTGAGGTGGCAGCAGCGCTCCAGCAACTCAACCCCGACAAGGAGGTCAGTCTAGATTGAATCAACTTCGAACACCACAAGGAAGCATGCCCATGCCGGCTTGCACCCTATAGCACCCAACTGCATAACAGAAGAATATCGATGTTGTGTGTTCGTCAACGGAGGGACAATATTTTAATTCTAACTCGCCGAAGCAAAAATTATTTGAAAGATTATCCAGCTTATCGTTTCGATTCTGCACGGACTTCCTCACAATACAAGATAGCACAGCGGAACCGGACCCCCTCTAGCAAATGACAGGAGCAGCTCAAAAGCAACAATCTGAGCTTTTTACTATGCTCGGACCTCCTGAACTATTTCTTAAGCAGCATACTGTAGGCCAATGACGAACAAATAGCTTTGAGATTTAGAAGACGTTGGCCCGCTTCCGATAGTACGTAACGAATGCTGGCCTGACAAATGCCATGAATTTTTGAAGAATAGACCCAAAAAATGACTTTCCTCGATTGTATGCCTCGCCTTCACAATATGTGAAGCATTTTTTTTATCTGGGATTATCCTGCTCTAAGATTTACTATACGTAGTGAGTAGAAAAACGCCGTAAAAAAACACGAGTAGTAGGCGCTGCCGTACAAAAATCGTTGCTCCCCTCCCTGAATACGGCGAGACGCTGTACTCAAGCCTGCACTAATGGCCTCGTATAGCATCACACTCATCTATAAAAACGTCAGCCCAACTGGCTAAGTTAGAGCGGGTTAAGCTTGCTTTTCTTCAGAGAACATCAGACCTACATAACCGTTACGTATATTTACTAGCGGATGCGCTTCTATGCGTTGAGTATCTGCATTCGTCAGTTTGGCTAACCAAGAGTGTCCGCTTACCTGGAATTTTTCCAACTAGAAGAGGAGCGAATGGTTGAGGTCGACTCTGAGTTCTTTACCGGCGCTTTGGTAGATGGAACAGAACAAACCACACGGAAAAAACTAGATATGGTAATCCGCTAAGCGTTGTATGACTTCCATTATGTTCTGTGTACTAATAAATCGTACCATAAGCCAAATAAAAGCTACATTTGTGTCCCATGTAAGCTCCTGTAGCCGATGCTATGCAGGTTTGTGTCTAAGAACACCTTTTTGGAATAATCCGGTGCAGAGAAAAACAGCGCAATTGTAGCGCTATGTATTAGGCGTTTGTTTACTTTATATTTTTTTAACCATTTAAAAAACTTCTTTACTTATCTGAGGATAACGTTTTTATCAATGACTATTTGATGAGCACAATGCTTAAAGGACATAGTACCGTATGGGTTTCTTTCAATATGAGAACACCTCACGGTTCCTACTTTAGCACCTCTCGGGTTTATACATCTTAGCTAGAAACTAACTGATCTACTTGCTCCGTAAAACAACGCTGTCCGTCAGGAGGTTGAAGTTAGACTGGGCTGGACATAGAAGAAACTGTTCATCTACGAATATGATTAATAATAAAAGCAATAAACTAATAGTCTAGGTAAGTGCTCGTCATTTCTAATGCGATAGCTGTCATCCTTTTGGCATGGGGGAATTAGCCCTGCTAATTGGTGATCAAACTGAGCGTGCTCCAATTGTGCTATTCTTATCGAAAAAATTTCACCAAGGGCTGTTAGTTGTACTTGATAAACTCGAGATCATCCATAGATGTTCATACTGTAGGCTTAAGAGCACCTCATTTAAGGTCTAGCAGAGAACAAGTCTTGTTCCGCTTAATACACTGTCCAGTTCACGTAAAACTCCATTAGAGATATAACATAGTGAAATAAAAAAATCCGCCGCTGGTATGGCTCCCTAAGTGCAGCGCCGAAATGGCCAACTTAAAAGTTTTTAGTTTGTCCGAATTTAGCCTATTAGCTCGTGACATCATAGCGGATATAATGGAAGTTGCAATGCACTATCTCAAGTTATATCATATATTACCTACGTATTGTCTGTTACTGCCAGCAGTATTACGCCTTTTTTGCACACTGAAAGGAGCTAATTGCATATTTTATCTAAGTTTGTTACCTATTTTTATTCGAGGCAGTTAACCGCCCGGCATACTTTAATGACTATGATAGAATTACTCGTATGCCGGCATCGAAAACGGTTACTACCAAAGGCCTATATTTGCGTATACTACGTCGACACAGTAATCCATGTAAAACATTTTTGACTCAGGGGAAAAAATTCTATAGTTTTTTTTTTAGAGTTCTTTAAACCTTTTCGCGAGCACATATAATATTGCGTCATGAATTTCTGTCACCGTTGTCATAAACGGAAAAATGTTAGAAGTTTCTTCTCTGATATATATGAGATCTGTACTATATATGGAAAGATGCGTTCCCCTACCGTATTCTTCCCATTTGCGTTCAAATGCAAATATCATTATTTTTTTTTTGCCATAATTTGTGACAAACACGGTTACCTGTTATGTAGCGTTTATGTACTATTTTTAGCGAACTCATACTCTGAAACAAAAAAAAGAGAAACAGAAAAGGCAAGGAAGGGAGTCGCTGAAGCTTCTAATGAAAACATTTTGGAACAAATTTAGAGGGGATAACCACAGCCGCAAAAGCGGATAGAAGTTATACATGGATATTGAGTTCAGCAGATACTCGAGTTACTACACAAACGCACAGCTGAGATGTACATGCGTACAATAGAAAGTGGACAGCTAAAAAGCTCTTGAGGCCATTTAAATAATCTTATAGTATCGGGTCTGTATCGAATCGAGCTAGAAGCATGCTGCATTCGTGCATGTGATAGTAGAAACTAATTAGCTTGATACAAACATCGATGGCATTTAAATAGCTCAGGTAGCATTATTTCGTGTCTGTCTGAAAGAGCAAGTTGAAACAACTTTTTTATAATGCTCAATCAAAGGTTTAAACTGAATACTGCGTCAAGTAACGGAGAACGTAAGCAAAAATATGCAAGTTTCAAAAGATACTATCCAAAAATACTTCATATATTTTGTATTGTTGATTCCTATATTTACAGTATCGTGAAGATGTTAGCGAATCACAAAGATGACCGAAGGCGAATCGAAAAGTCACTGGAGGCGTGCGGCATCGCGGGTGGCAAAGGCGATTACATAACCCCCGACAAGTTTTCCTTCGAAGCGTTTTATTCATTTTATAGACACCTGACAGCACGCTCAGAAATAGAACAGGTATAATCGTATGCAACATATGACTTTTTCATTTTCCAGTAGGGCTGTAAGCTATGGCCGAAAAAAACAATGTGCTTTTTAGCCCAAAAACTCTTCGATTACTCGTCTTCAAATTAGTGATTATTGTATTATTATATTGAGATGTTTTATTTAAGTATTGTAACTTTTCTAAGACTATCCCGATTATATTTATTGAAAAACTGAAAATCCCTTTCTGTTCGGTCTTAGCATTCGGTATTTTACGGTAGAATTATGCACGCTTTTATAGCTTAGACATTTTAGGGGCCTCATTGTTTGTCGTTCTGGTCATCGTAATGCAGCGTTGAGGATAATTCGTAAAAGATTCCACTGTAGTCCAATCATTATAATACATGAAGAGGTAATTAGGTGTTCATTCGGTGTTTGGCATATCTAGACTCGAATATAAGCGTTAAAACATAGCGTTTAAAAGACGTCTTTAAGACCAAGAAGTAGAGAAACTGCACGCGTAGTGAAAGTTATACTGGTAACAGCCGTAATGGCAAGGAGCACAAATTACAAAACAAAAAGTCATTTCAAAGCCGTAAGAAACATCAAAGTATATTTCTTCTATGACAAGCCTGAACAATGCCGTTGAAAGGACACCGTCTTGGAGATTGCGTGGTTACAGGGCCGATTGCGCATGCCTCTCAGATTCTCTGGTGTAATAACTATAAGGCCAAACACTATAAGGCCAGAAGTTGTTAGGTATTCCAAGCCAAAGTTCACTTAAGGATGTCTTATGACAGGCCAGAGAGGGAGACATCCCAGGAGAATAAATCAATAAAGGCGAAGGGATTTATCATTAGTAGGGATCACTTACTATGCTCAGTACCTTTCTCTTAGTTTTTGGTAAAACGCAGAAGTGTTTACCCCCGCCTTCAAATCTAGACCACGTCACATGTCCCTCAGGTTTGCAGTCATATTCATTAGTACTGCACGGTTATGGGCATGTGCAAAAGAGATCCGCAGAATGCGCCGCATCGCAGCTGCTAGCTTTCCTCGCTCCAGCAAATAAACGACATCGCATTTCTTAATCAATCAGAAACACATCATCGGATTTACTGGGCGCTTATATTATATATTGATCCGAGATTCGCTGAGATGTGTTTCATGTATACCAATAGATCGTTTCAGAAAACCCTCAGATAACTGATTTGACCAACATTGCAAAATAAGTGCGCAGTAGTTATTATCTAAGTACTAAATTAGAAATATTCCATAGAGGAAGACAATCAGCCTCACCTCCTCACACAATAACTCATTAAACTGCACCTTTAAAACGTCACATAATTACGTAAAACCTCCTTCGCCACTGCATTTAGTTCAGTAAGAGCAAAAAGGAGGCTCGCCAGCGTTGTAAACGCTGGAATTTATTTAATCTACGCTGTTATGACTTTTAAATGTAAATATTAAGTCATAATACAATTCTTTAAGCTTCGTGATTGACGTGTGCCATTTTCTTCAGTTAGTTAATCACGTCGAGGCATAGAGTTTATTTAAAATGTGGGATCGATGCCACAGGTGTGGATGTAATAAACAACATTTTGAAAAGCAGCGGGTTGCCTCATTTACTCGGTACAGTCGTCGTCAAAATATTACTATGCTTATATTATCCAATAATTTAGTGAACTGTATTAATATTCTCGTTGCTATATTATTCCCAGACATTTCGTTTTAATGACACTATTTGCACACTATAGAGACAGGCAAAACATAGATACATCGTTGTCGAGATGTTTTCGTTCGTTGGCATAGACGTAGTCCGTGAGTGCGTAAATATACAGGATGTTCGAGGTAACGCGAGTCAAATTTTTGCCGTAACAGGCATTATTATTATTTGTTATATTATTTACAGGCTTTCAAGATGGTTTCACGAAAACTATAGGCTTCTCTAGCTGTCCAAAGTCGGCCCGTTTCGTTGCTAGTTTTCATGCTGCTTCTGGAGAACACTTCTATGAGACAAAACTACACTGAAAGGCCTATAAAATTTATCAGAATAGTTCAAGAACAATTCATTGTAATCCTGTACTTTTGTATGCTGCAATAAGGAGTTAGTTCAGACAGTCCCTTGCTATTTTAATTGTCTAGAATATCTCTAATGGTAGCCTCATCTAGACTTTCTGTTCTGTCGTTAGATTTTTGAAATTTTTAGCCCATCACGACGCTAATATGCAAATCCACCGAGTGTTTTGCCTGGAATGTGTGAGAGATAACGGGTCCACGCGTACCGGTATTGCTTTAGCTACAGCTGTTACAAATTCTATCTATTCGTGGATTTAGACAGGGAATTTTCGAAATTGATTTTTGAATGTAAAGGCCTTGAGAGCAAAACCTAAGTTAACATGCACTGCGTTTACATTCAGCAAAACACGTCCATAAAATATTTCTTTGTTGATACATGCAAAAAATTTTAGCCAGAGTATCTGTTTTGCAAAATATGAGCAGCGGACACATTACCATAGTTTATGTACACACGGTGTCTATATTTAAATTATTGCACGGTGAGATCAGTACCGCACTTTTTTGAATATTAATAGCTATAAATGACTATCTGAAGGATCTTGGGATATATTTTGTATTGACAATTCAACAACTTACGCTTGATTTCTTGCTAGGTGACGGCTGAAGCCTTCCGGTTAATTCAGTCAAGTTCTATATACTTTTGTTGACGTCTAAGCAGTCGCTAAATTTTTGGATCGTGATTGAATCTTAAACAGTCCTTTTATAATAAATGTTGTTTTAGTGAAGCCCTTTCTGGTGATAGACGTATGAGGGTGGAGACTCTTAGATTTATGTTGGTTAAGTTCCTGAGTTTTTGTAAGATGACAGCTCCAGTTCTCAGTTTTTGGGGGTTTCAAGCATGTATGTTTCACTTCGTTTTAAAATATTAATCCTAGGTATTTGTACCTTTTTCACAAATAGGGCAGTTACAATTGAGTATATGGTTAGCTGTATACATAATGTAATTGTGCATATATTTTTAATGAGCCCAATGAGTAGAGAAACATTTTGGGTCCTAAGTGACCGTCATTGTCCTCGATTCCTGCAACCGTCGTAATTATGGTTGGCTTGGTAAGTCTATGACATTCAATACCCTGTCTTTGTGGTGAGTAAGCATGTGTCGCTCGCAAATTGTATGATACTCCCTCCAAGCCGAAAATTATATAGATCATTGATATAACAGTTAAATAAGATTGGAGCCAATACTCACCTTTGTAGTATTCTATATTTGTAAATATACCGGGTTTATCAATTTTTTAATTTACTTGTCTAAAAGCAGTTTTATCAATTAACGAGCGGTTTTCGTAAATCAAGCGAGATTCATTTATTCGTAACCCTTTATCAATTTACAGTGTCAAGAAGCCATTGCTGCATATTGACCTTCTGCGGTGACCCTTACTATTCTCGCGCTTTAATCGTTGCGTGTTCGGCTGCTCTACTAGATCTGAAACGATTTGGTTTATAGTAAAAATGTTTTTTTCGATTAATTTAACCAGCTGGTCACTTGACATGTTAATATAGGTCTCAGGGTTCCGCATATTATTTAAGCATCTTTGTATACCGATTATACAACAGCTACTTTGAAATAAACACGACTCGTTTTATAAAGATTCTAATTAACACGCAAGTAATTTAGCGTTGTTTCTCAAAACTCGATATTACGGATCTAATGACAGGGACATATATTTAATCCGTTTTTTTTTTAATTTACGTTACAGTGCGTCGAGTGTTTTTTGAGCCATTATCACAGCTTCTTAGGTGGTCCTTTTAAGTAGTCCTCATAAGCAAGTCTGACAAATTTTCTCAATTTGTCTTATGCATGTTACATAATTTTCGCGTTTCGAGTTACTAACTGTTGTAGATCCCCCGTGTTACTTCATAGGAAGCTTACTCGATGCCCTCGAAAAGCTGCATTGGGAAACAGACCGTCAATTTTGAGCAGACGAAGCTTACAATATTCATACGGTGCATTTGGCATAATATAATAGTTTATTTGTCCTTGTGCATGGAAAATGAGTTTCTTGCCTTCACTGTCATGAGTTGTGTTTTGTTCTAGAAAAACTGGACTACGCCTAGTTCCGAGAACAGTCGATGAAGCGCACCCGGTACGAGAAACCGCTTTCTTAGAAACTTAGTACCAACTTATCCGGAACGTTATGCGTAGTATACGGCGTATGCTAAGTGAAAAACAGTGTGATGAAAACGGTCTCTTTGATAAAAAATATCTTTTACTCCGGACAGATATTTTTTGCGGCAGCGGCCCAGCGACGGTGGAGGAATCGTGTAACATCTAAACGCAAAAACTCTATATGTACATGTGTAAATTTATTTAACATAAGCCCAGCAATTTGTTAACAAAACGGGAAACTACAATTAGTTAGTTACCGCGGAAACAGTTAATTTTAACTGTTTTGATACTATCGTCTATACTGGCGAGAAACCGTAATGAAGTGGACTGTGATATTGCAGGTCTTCGACTACTTGTGTGGGGGACACAAGAAAAAAACTATGACTACGGAGCAGCTAGTGGATTTCCTAAACAAAGAGCAGAGGGACCCAAGACTTAACGAAATTTTATACCCGTATGCCACCCCTTCTCGAGCACGGGACCTCATCAAGCAATACGAGCCCAACAAAAGCAACGTTCAAAAAGGTTAGGAAGTTTTAATACGTCTCCTCACCTTCTCGGAAACACGTAATCCAATTCTTGCCTAGATCCAATGAACTCCAAAAATAGTTCTTAGCATGCTTCTTTAAGTGATGATATTTTTTTCCATAATTATCAATTGTACAATAAATCAAGTGCCAATTGCAGGCATGCACAATTCATAAGTATCTCGATATTTCAACATAATTGACAAATTATTTACCACGATTTTAACTAAGACACTTTTCTGTTATGTGGAAAGGCGGTTCGCTTAACAGGTGCGTATGTATTTGATGGTTAGTTAGAATAATTAGATTGTAAACTCGTGGTCAATAGCTTCTGTATCATAAGGAAAAAGAAAAGATATTACCTCAGCAGCTCAACCCAGGAGCACAGGTTTTGTATACTATAATATTGATAATGTTGTAGTGCTAATAGTAATGCTGCGGTTAAGTATTACTTCACACGGCTGGCTCCCAGAATGAAAAAAAGTGGGTTTTTATCGCCTAGACCATCCCATGTGGTACTAAATTTGTCAGGCCAACACATTCCAGCTGCATTACTACGGAGATCCTATATGCTTGACTATTGAGTGTTTAGAGTATACTTATCAAAATATCTTGTTTTTTTTTCGCGTTCTCGTTGATGCAAAATAACGTATGTTGTAATCAAAATATCATTTCAAATATGATACACAAATACACACAATTAATGACATTTAATTCTTCGACCTGCTTATTGTGATAAAGATTTCTCTTCTTTACCCGTTGGTTGACGAAGAGGTAATTTTAGAGTTTCAACAACAAAAACGCCGCGGTTTACTCAAATTTCAGCAACAAATTAATTTATTATACATTCAATGTCGACTTTAACTGCTCATCGGTTAATTAATTTATTTATTCCTCTCTTTTTACCTGAAATTTGGCATTGAAGAACGTGTCCTGGTTTGGAACTTTCTTCGCTGCCAAATATGTGGCTAAGCCAATGATCAGGAAAGGCTATAATCCATCAGAGCGAACATGAGGGGAGCATGCAACAAAACCTACTACCAAGCTCTTGCAAAACGGATTTTTTTTTAAATTTAAAATTTTTGGCAAAAAAGTGGCTTCGCTTTGCCGATCGATTTTTGTTGGGTAGCTTCGCTTACTCGATATAGCTGGGTCGAATACAGATCCTTGCTGACCATCTTGCTTTTTTTAAAAAAATTGTCAGTGTATAAAATTCTTCCAGTCCCACCAAACAAAAAGCGTCGTCTTCTTAAAATAGAGTTTTTACTTAGCCCTAGGCTTGAACATAGCCGGCGGAGCTATCCATTCTTGTCTCCGCTTGATATAGATGTAGAGACACCACTTCTTATCGCCGGTGGCAGTTCTGTACAAGAACCGGCGCGAAATACTGAGAGGCAGTGGAAAGCTTTGTTTCTTTGTTATGTTTGCTCGTTTTACACATGACGCAAGCACCTTATTTTTTAATGCCATAGAGCTGAAGTGCTGATCGATAGTTATATCATTGCAGTTCATTTTCTTGCCCGATTCAAAAATTGTTTTTCGGCTATCTTCCCTTAGAGGTGGTTTCCATTAATCTCAAATGGTTAAGTGAGTCAAATGGTAAATAAGGGGGATTGCATTCTCCAGCTCCAAGATATCATTTTTAAACTTCGTACACCTCTTTTAAGCAGTTTTCTCAATTGATGTTTTAGTTGCACATCTGTTGACCTCTGTAAAAGGCGAAATGGGGTAAATGTCTAGTGAATGCTTTTTTTTTTTTCTAAAATCTTCACCTTTGGAGCCTGAACTCAAGATACAATTTCATTGCCTACACAATAAAATTGCCACAGACACACAGAGCAGAGAGAGTGCTTTTGAATCGCATATAGAAGTAGACAAACAGCAGAGAGACAAAAGAGAAAAGGAACATTAAAGATACACCGAAAAAACTTGTGTCAAATTATCAAAACAAATATAACAGTTTTTACTTTTTCAGATATTAAATACATTACAAAGTATACACACTTGTATATGCGACGCGTACAATGTATATGATCGGTTTATGTAGTGCGGATTCGAGTCAGCGAAGATGGACCTTTCAAATCGAATTTCACTTATTCACCTTTACGAGTTAAGTCAGACAGTTCATATATAGTATTTTAGAAAAATCCCGGCTTACACGTAATTTATTGATTCGTACTATTGCCTCTTGAAGGACTTTCACTGCGCTCTTAGGTTTGCATTTTTCCAGTTATGTTAACTCATGCCACCTGTAGATTGCGGCATATCCTTTGATTTTGTGATTTAAAGCCACCTGTTTGTATTAATTCATGGGTATATTGTGTACCATATATGGTGAGGTGTTTGGCTCTAGATGCCCTTTGAGTTCTACAAGCGTGTTGTGGCCCTTGTATTTCAACCAACCTGTCATTCTCGACGCGTAGAATATATATTATGATGTTATTGTCGTTTACAATTATCTTTTACAGGAGCTGGGGGCAAACATTCAAGTATTTATTATTATATATATAATGAGTGGAGGCGCTGAGAAGTTTGCCTCTAGACATGCGTCAGTAGGGTGTCAACAAACGTGCATTATCGACGTGTACTGCCACTTCGAGCCTTATCCAATTATTACACTATTTCTATAAAAAAGCACTACAAGATATTAATAACCAGCGTCGATTGAGCTCAAGTATATTTTACTATTTATTGATAAGTTTTATCAATTTATTTTAGGAGTGCTCTCTTTTGAAGGCTTTCTCCGATACCTACTCAGTGAAGATAACGCAATAATCGCTCCTGAGAAAATTGATTTGAGTCAGGACATGGACCAGCCGATGAACCATTACTTCATCAACTCGTCGCATAATACCTATTTAACAGGCCACCAGCTCACCGGAAAGTCATCTGTCGAGATGTACCGACAAGTAAGAACAATCAACCAACAGAAACAAGGAAAAGCTAACATCGAAAGAGATCAACGATAGAATTCGGCTCGTAACACGATTAAAGGAAAAATAAATTACTGAATTAGGAAAAAATAAGTTTGATTTAATGCATATTTGTGCAATAATAATAATTTGCAACGATCGACTGATTGTCAGTTTATGTTCAATTCGCAGAAGTGCGCTTGACACTTTGGTCTGGTCAGTAGTAGTAACATGAACGGTTTCGATATGGAAGTTTTGGCGAGGTGTTCTTCACGCAAAGGCTGACTTTTTAGGAATAAGAAGGATTCCGACCATTTTGGAAACAGAAATTTTCTAGTTTAGTTTGATGGAAGATTACGCCGCACCTCCATGTTCTATGCTATATCTCACTGCAATGACAAAAAAAAAGGCTTTTTTATTGCTTTTTAGAAAGATCGCTGTCTACATTCGTCAGCCAAGCTCTACGTCACGCTTTACACATTGTGCGACGAGTAATGCTTAATTAAAAATGGAACAATCTGCTCTCGAAATTTACAGTATTAATTAATTTGCGTCAATGCAGGGATACGCCTCAGACACGTGCAAAGACTCGTATTTATCTCTAGCGTTTGCAACCCAAAGCCCGAATTATCGCTTTGAGAACGAGATGCGCATTACCGACCCCTCCCCGGGAGGATTAGGGGCCTAAGCCAAAGGTCATATTTTGCTTATATATAGCAGATAGTTTAATGTGTCTGGAATGATTTTTTGTTTCACACTGTTCCCGAAGGCGATTATGATCCCATTGACTCCCATTTAAGTAGAGTGACTTTGCGCCATGAAAGATTCTTGAAAAGGAGACTAAAATGATCCTGGCAAATGATACCTTTGAATTATCAAGTAATTTTTTTTTGTCCGGTGGTCCAATTAAGGAAAAAGGGGGTAATCTTAAGGTTTTATTTCGGGTACAGGCACCTCAAAGGTGCAATAAAAGGTGACGGCTTACCGCTCCCTAGGATTGCCTTGGCACGCTCTGCAAGGCTCTTTTCTTCATCGCACTTTCTGCTGAGCGGCTATTGGAAAATCAGTACAGGCTTCAGTAGTAAGGGAAGCACCGTTTTTTACACTTCCGGAGGTTTTTATCAGTTGATCCGCGTGCGGTTTAGCTTAGCGAATTCATCAGCTCGCAGGATAAAGGCCAGGTGCCATGAAATATCAAAGGACCATGGTGTACTTTGATGACCTCATGATCTCGTTGTGTGACTTCGACAGCCATTTAGAGCATCTCGCAATGATGCTGAAAGCCATAAACAGAGCCGGGTTAAGGTTAAAAACTAAGATATATTTTGCGGTGCACCTCTGGAGTAGTACACCTCTGGAATAAGATTAGCGCTTTCTCTAGGCCAAGGCACAAATTAAAGTAATTCTAGTACTTGTAAAAAAATGATGTAAACACCTGTCTAGCCTTGCATCATGCTGCAGACAGTTAATTACAAATGCTTTCTCCATCTCAAAGGTTTTCTTGACATGAAAAGAATCTTACTGACCTTATGCTTTTCTGAACCCCTGACTGCATATATATATCACTAAAATAATAACATCTTCGATTTGGCGTTTCACGGTTATTTTGGAACCCAGCGGGAGTATCACCACCAGGTTATGGGTCTATAGGGACATCAGACACACGTTGTATAGGATGAAATTTTGTTGTACGTTCTCTGAAGACGGCTAAGCGAATAAACTTGAGCTTTGTCACCCGCTCCTAAGAGATGAATCAATTGGTCATCTTTGGCTCTTTTCATCCTTGCTACCAATGCAAAAATAAATCGGAGAAATGACTACTGGCTTTCCCACAAGCCCAAAGGCTGTTTAAAGTTTACGCCGGTATCCATTTTATAAGTTTTATGTTCAATGAAAGTGATGTCAATGTCAATGTCAATGTCTATCAAAAAGACGAAACGTTGAATTGAGAGAGTCGTGACAAGAGCAAAAGACAATATAGGTATGGTATGTTAGCGCGGAGATTAAGGGACGAAAACTTGCGCGCGGTTTCAAGGAGGAATTGAAAAAGTTACCGAAATGAGTGATAGTTACATGCAGTAAAATAATGAATTAAAAATTCATTTAGTAAATTGTTTAAAAAAGTACACGATTGTTATTATTTGGTGACCCTTATGAATTCTTATGAAAAGTAATTTTGCATTTTCCAGACCTGGCCATCGCTCCATATATTCACTGCTTCTGTGAACCTGTTTTCACTTAAAAATGCAGAAAAGCAAATTGAACTGTGTTTGTTTTGAGTTGGAACACAATTAAACGAAATGGCCTTTTAAGCTTTGCGTGCACGAACGGACATAAGTATCGAAATTTTAAATGTTTGTGTAAAATTCGCCAAAAGCTCCTCGTATAAGGCGTGAACTCTTGTTCATAGCACTCAATCAAAGAGGTCGACATTTACCTCGCAACCGGCTCTATACTTTACTCTGAACGCCCAGATATCGTAAACCGATTCGTGTAAGACATATATTACCGTTTTGGTACGTTATATATATATATATATATATATATAGAGAGAGAGAGAGAGAGAGAGAGAATAATTTGGAGAAATTATCCAGCTTCGTATGTACTTTTGCCATTGCATTTATACTTAAATAGTGTCTGCTTTCGGGCTGCCGATGCATCGAGCTGGACTGCTGGAACGGTCGAAACAGCGACGAGGAGCCAATTATTACTCACGGCTATACTGTGGTGACTGAGATTCTTTTGAAGGAAGTGATTGAAGCGATCGCAGACTCCGCTTTCAAGACCTCACAGTACCCGGTCATTCTTTCCTTCGAAAACCATTGTTCGTAAGTAGCTTACAACTAACCTCTACCATTGGCATAAGTCTTACTGCAAGAATTGCACACACCATACAAGCACAACATAAGTGCAATGCAAACGGTGCCACAGACAATCGAAAATCGCAGACATTTAAAAAAAAGGCTGTGATTCATGGTGTTAGCCACTTTTTTTGCAATGTTTTATTAAATTCTTCTACAGGCTGTGTACTAAATACGTGTCAGTAACCCATCTATCCGAAATTAAAACAAATAATAAAAAAAACTGGTTTTATTTTCTCTTTTTTGCTATGTTTCTTAATTAACCTAAGCTTGGACATCGCCCAAGCAGTCGCATGACACTTGCGATCTGCAGTTTTTAATTATAGATATTATGTGAATGCCATTGACTTGGCGAAAAATGTTGATTAAGTTACTATACAGGCTTTGTTGTAAGTAACTAGGTACTTTGATATGCTTGCAATGTAAGAGGCTGGAATGTTACAGACTTTTAAAGTTAGCGGTTTGAAGCTTTCTTAGAACTGATGGTCACCGACTCGATGCTACCGATTTTCTTACTACCGACCGGCTGATGTTATGCACCCACTTCGTTTTGCGCGCCTAAAGTTGTGATTGGTACATGGCACTCATAGCAGAGCCCTTTATAACATTTTTCAGGATTGACAATCATATGGGGGTACCTTTTGTAAAACATAGTCATGAATTTTGCTTTATATATATATATATATATATATATATATATATATAGAGAGAGAGAGAGAGAGAGAGAGAGAGAGAGGAGGGCTTCGCATTTTTTAGATTTTGCTGCGTACGTGAATTGTGCATAATATAAACATTTCACAAAATTTTATCCCAATAGAACTAATCACGTGTCAGCCGGGTGCTATAGCGCAAAATGGGGTGCTATATCATATGTAGAAATACTATTTTAATGATGATACTCTCAGGCTGATGTAAAAATATGAAAACATACTTTTTGTAGTTCTTAGAATTGCATTGCGAATGTAAGTTCCCAATGGCCCATGGATCCTTCCTATAGAGTATATCAAAATAGACTTGATGGTTGTCAGCCGCAAAATGCTACAGGTTTTATTTAGGTCTATGAGAAATGCACACAAGTCCCTCTCAAACTTAAAAATATGCTGCAGAGGCCATATTGTGGCCACTTTATGAAGCAAAACGGCATACACGTAATATTGCATCATTTTGATATTAAAAGAATAGCTCAATATTTTTATACTTGGTCTAAGTGTAATGTAAAAAAAATACTAATTCTTACCTATTGATCGTTTTCTGACATAAAAAAACAACTACAAATCAGGTGATTCAAAGAAACTGTGTAGTATATAGGTTAGCTCAGATTATTTATAATTTTTTAACACTTTGCTCTGTTAACTCTTTTTTTTGTCCATGTGTACTCAAGACTAGGTTTGCTATAACATGAATGTGGAAACCAACAACCAAAAGTTCTGCGTAACGGCAAATATTGACGCAATCTATAAAATTAAACGCCACGTACTAAAAGTAAAAAATACTTAGTATTGCGACCCTTATCTGACGTGGTGTTCCACAGTATTCATTCTAACTGCTAATTTGTATATTATGGAGAATTACAGTCAAAAATTGAAGCCAAACGATATTTTTCGGTTGTCTATTTTCATTAAAAGTACCTACATTGAATAAAAAAGTTTTAATGATCTGAGTACATATTAACAATCATAGAACTGATTATAAGGCCAGTGTTTTCAGTAAAATAAGATCACATTTAATAAGGTGGTAACCACCAACATGAAAACAGATTCCTTTGTTCCAAAGGAAGACAGCTTGTGGCTATCGTAGCTCAATCCAGTGGGAATCTAGGGACGTTCTTCTCCCAAGGCTGCACAAAAAACTTCTTGAAGTCGAAAATTCTGAAATAATTTTGAAGGCATGTTTAAATTAGGGAAATTCTAGAAACCTTTGCTTCCCATGACTCTTTCAAAGTTATAACCGTCCTCGAGGACTGAATTGAATTCGGTATTTTTGGCCTCTGTTTAACCGTAGCTGCATTCGATAGTTCTTCCTTTGATAAACAAAAATTCCACATCTCCTTCCTCGCTGGGAACTCCCTCGCCCTTGTACTGAGGGTATTATGCTTTTACACATCTTGGTGATTTATAGGATTGTTGTGAAGCAGTGTTGAACAGTAGTAAAATTAGAAATTTTTTTTCCTTCATTTTTTTGTTGATGTAACCTACAGTAAGCCTTCAAGGCGTCTCCGTCTAGTCCGAAATTCTGACTCTAACAGCTCAAGACAGCCTTTCTGGTACCATTGTGTGCTATGCCAAACTATACTGCATTTACGCACACTTAATACTTATTCAATTCGGCAAAATTTTTCCTACTTCTCAACACAACGGTGTGCAATCGACGTCAGCATCCTAGTGTTTTAATTTGCGACAATAGTTCTTTATGGACACCTCTTTACAACCTTTGCTGGCTCAAGGTAATCGAATTGCGGTGCTGTGAATACGTTGTTATTAATTGTAATTTAAATTTTAGCGATCGCATGTGCTTTACGGAATGAATATAAAAGGGAAAGAACAAGGAAATTAGAAATGTGGCAGCACTTTCTACAATAAGTTGCTAATGTAGCCTTTATGATGGCAAAATGCCTTTATATAAGCTAGTTAAAGAAAACCTAAATAAGTGCAATAAGGCTTTACGTTATAACTCAACCGAAAGGTAATGTGTTACATAAAGAAGATATCTAGGAATTATCTCGAACAATTTACTAGATAAGACTAAATAACTATGCGGACTGGTATTCTATTTGTCTGAATGCATAGACTTTTTTCAATCGTTCCAAAATATGTTGAAAATAAGCTCTATTTTGAAGACAATTCCATTGTGTACTCTAACAGTTTGTATATTTTGTTTTATCTTCAGGCCTAAACAACAGGCTAAAATGGCGCAATATTGCACCAAGATCTTCGGGGACATGTTGCTCACGGATCCCTTATCAAGTCACCCCCTGAAGAGCGGTACTCCACTACCTTCCCCCAACCAGCTCCTGCGTAAGATCATTATCAAAAATAAGAAGAAGCACCATCCGAGACGTAAGTATTGTCTTAAACAACTAAGGATAAATAATATACCTACGTTAGCCGTTGTTTTATTGTATCAACGTATTTACTAATCTCTGATGCGTTCTTGACACGGAACATTGACAGCACACAAGCCTATCCCGGGGTCTAGTTTGCCGGCATCAGCGGCCATGACGCCAGGCCATAGGCCTGCGGGAATCTCAGGCGGAACCCAGCAACAGCCACAAGGCTTCCCTCCATCTCAAGACAGTCCCCAATCATCCTTGACGCAACCCTCTTCAACTTCGCCCACCCAAACCGCCGGCCAGGGTCAGCTTGACGACCTAAACCCAACGGTTGGTCCCAGTATACTACAGCAAATCAACACAGATGAAAACAGCGTCTCCTATGCAGGTACGCCGTACTAGACGATGTTATAACATAGCCTCTGTAATGCATTGAGGGGTACTTTTTATGCAAAGAAACGGTAAACAAGTTATCCCACGAATCATGTGAGCTCGAAAAATAAACTTGTAGCTGAAGTTTTTACCATCTGGAAATATTATTTTATATATATAATTTTTTTATATTGACCAAATTATTCCAGGTTGAATTACTGGACAATTTTAGCTTAGATCACTTCCCGGCCTTTTGGCTGAGATCAAACTGTAGTGTGAATGACTGCTCTAAATTTGTCTTTGTCTGAATTTGAACGAACTTGTAATTTTTGTGGTTAATCCGCGATTTCGACACAGTTTTCTACTAAAACTTATTTTCTAGCCGTTTCACCTTTAATAAAAGCCTACTGTTTTATGACGCCACTCTTACTAGTTTAGGTTTTTAGGACGAGGCTAAAAATGGGAAATTCATTTTCAGATATAATAACCTAGGGTAGTAGACCAACTAGAGATCGTTTTTGACATATGTGTGCATGAGAAGCGAAGATCCTATTTGAGAGAAACATTTGGGCGCGGTCATATATCTCGTGCTTCGGAAGTGCTTAGGAGAACAAAGCGGCCATTAATTCTTGGTTTTGGTGTTTGCAGCGAATATGTATGGAACCTTATTAAAGCGCCTAAAATTTTCTTTGAATCTATGCGATATGTGCATTTTCAAAATATAACCGCTAAATTTCGAAATGCGATACCAACCCTATTGAAGGGTATTTAGATACCTATTTTTACCTAGCATTTTTTACGTAGGTGCGTAGGGCTTTTTCTTAGACTTTTCAGAAGTCGTTTAATAACGGTGGCAAAGTACTGTTCCCCAGTAAGGCGCAAGTTTGTCTGTGAGGACAAAAAAAAAAATAGTTTCATATAGCAAACTGAAATTAAACTTTATGTTGTTTAGTCAAAGTTTAGTATACAAGTGAAGAAAATTTTTTCATTTACGTAGTTTAATAGAAGAAAGTAAATGAATCACCTTTTTTGTGGAAGAAGAAATCTTATTTTGAGCTACGGTTAATCGGCTTGTCATTGTATTATTGTTATTTGCTTCGTCTGTTTTTACAAAGCTCTTCAAGCTTCGCAAGTAGCCCATTCATTTCGTAAATTTTTTTTATTTCGAAAAATTATGTACCCTGTTAGTCGAGTGTATAAAACATTGTATTTGTAACGTAAATTATGAGATTCTAAAGTTTAATTTTAAGCATTTTCTGATTCTGCGAAGACTTTAAATAAAGAGCCTCGGAATAGATCGCCGAGAAATCTGAGCAAGAACATTTGTCGCATTTCTTAATTTCGTTAATTTTCGGAGTAAGGAATACATGGAAATGATATACAGATATCAGATTCAAGGACATCTTTATTTACAAAATATATAAAGTTATTACGTGTAAGGTGAACAAATATTTCAAAATCATTAGTAACAACAGGCTCTGCATGTCTTATTTGTTCGTCACCGGGGTCCACTTCGATTTACAGAATCCGACGGGTCAGAAGGAACAGACTCGGAAGAAGAAGAATCGGGGGCATTCACAGCTGTTACTGATTCTTCGAATGTCGAAGGAACCGCCGCCAGCGAAAGCGAGGCCGTAGCCGAAATGTCTGCCCTCGTCAATTATTGTCAACCCGTCAGGTATTAAATAAAAAATAATACGGTGCTAAATATGAACTCCACTATAGAGTTGCCGGCAGTGCCATTTCAGTGCCTCATGGGTCTTGAGTACTCTGTCACTGCCGCAACCTCTATATATCAACCTGGATGGAAATTTATTATTTTTTTTTATGAAAATCAAACAGAAGCGTCTCTGGTAATTTTTCGGTTCGATTGTGAACAATGCTTAGTATTATTCTTATAAACTCTGGATTGTCATTAGGACAGAAATAAGGACACTTAACTACGCAACCCACTATCATAGCGAGAAAGAAATGGCGATATGACTCATTAAAGGAGTCTTTTTTTCTAAATTGGCTTGTTTTCTATCATTTAAGCGCAAAAAACTTGGAGAAAGAGCCTTCTCTCTCTGCTATCTGCTTTTTTGGTGACTGGTTTATTACGATACAAAGGAAGCAATAACAAAAAACACCAGCACTTCTCGAACGGTGCAGTCAGTTTCATGAAAAGGGCAACTCTATGGACGAAACAATTTACCTCAAAAATCAAAACCTATGTATGTGTCTTCTAAAATGTTTTGTACTAGCAACAATACAGAATTCGAAGGAATAGGATCGGCCAGTGTGTTGAGAAAAAAACCCGATAATTGATATATCTTTAGCTAGCCCTATCGCATCCGTCCAAAAGGTCATTATTAATGCATTAATTTTCATTTTGTTTATTACATATCACAATCACTCCGCCTGTTAGTTCAAGTTTGGCGAAGGACTCGAATCAGCTGTAAGCCTTTTTACTACTACGACCTATTTTAGAAATTCGTACCTCGTTGTCGCTCTTAGCAATGTTGTTTCGAGCTATTATGCTCCGCACAGCTTGTTTGATTTCGAAATCGTCATTATGATTTCTATTCCTACACTTAAATTTTGAACCTGAAATGCAAATTTAAGCTTTACGTTATCAACATGGCACTCAAAGGCTTTCAAAGCTGCCGTATTTTGGCCTTAACTCCTATGATGAATGCGTACTGATGAAGTAATGATTACTTGTCGATCGCATGGGTTAAACTAAAGGATTTTATCTCCTGATTATATACAACTCTTGTTAGAATAGAAGAATTTTGTAAAAAAAAAGATAAAAGAATAAAGATAACAAGCTAACCGAATTGCGCTACCCACCACCCTTTCGATGGCGCAAAGATTCAGTGAGCAGCTGAAAGTATGTGCTAGCTTTTTCATTTTTTCAACTGCAGGGTGACGGCTGTCGTATACTAAAAGCTGCCAAAAGTGTAAACTAGCTAGAAATGTCTGGATATTATTATAATGGGTAATTCATTGAATTTCTAAGATAAAGATAAATGTACGTTAATTTACAATTAATTTAACCCTAATCTCACAAAATCCCTGTACGATTCGATGGGCAGATTATTGCAGCAAACAATTTTGTTCCCAAGACAATATGGGAACTTCATAAAGTAACAATCGATCACACGACATCTGCCGCGGCGTCGTAGACCAACAATGATTAAAAAAGTTTGTTTCAATATTAGTTGACAAATTCGATAAACACTTCTAAACCACCTGATGACAACCGAATACCAATACATTAGAAAAAGGATGTAATCCCAAACGAGCACCTTAAAAAGGTCATGACATTTTTACGTTGGCCTGTGACGCCACGCAACGAGTCTTCTTCATATTTAGCAAGCTGGTTCTACCACTAGGACTCTGAACTATTTACACTAAATATACCAACTTAATCAAAGAACTTGTAAATTATTCATAGAGCTCAGAAAGACTTTTGTCTTTTTCATAGGAGTATTTTGATAAAATTGAGAGAAACTGTACCACACTAATTATGAAGTTCTTAAAAAGTAAAATTAGGAATCTCAATTAAAAAAAATCCAAATCAAATTAGGACCAAACAATAAGCTTTCTGTAAAAACACAATGATCTGAGCTGCTCTTTTCACTCTGTACATTCATCAGACACCTCCCAGAAGTAAGAAAAAAAAAAGCTGTGCGCGAATTGGCTATTAGAGTAAAGCTTTTTTTTTTTAGCGTAGATCGTGGTGGCTTATGGTCTAAATGTGAACCAGACTAGCTTAAAACTTACACGATAAAAACAATGGAACCCCCTTAGGAAACAGGCGTAATTTTATGATATGAACTTCGAATACGTTCGAGATCGTTTATGTAAAACTATGTAGTTGTAAACCTCCCTTTGCAGAGCTCGTGAAACAAAATCTTGAGAAAGTATTTAGGTTGAAAAAAGGTAAGTAGGTTGAAAAAAGCTGCTTAAACAAATCGTTACTTTACATACAATTGTTAGATGTATAATATATTTGTGTTATACAGGATGACTACATGGGCGTAAGAATTTATCGCTACTTTTTTATTGCATTTACTTAACAAGATACGTTGAAGCTACAGCATATATTACGATAGGCTGAGATCCGTTTTAGAAAAAAATCAAACGTTCCTTGAGTACAATAATGTATGTGCGACTATTTCAGTAGAATATTATTCGTCCAAGTAGTGCCAGCTACTTGGACGAATGGCTTCCGTGAATAACTAAAACAAGGCTACATAGGTTTTAAGCTTAGCGACATCCCGAAATGATCTTCGTCGTGATGTACAAAGAGATAAACGATGTGTTGTTAACTTGGTTTCCGTCTCTATGGAGCCTTTGGCTAGCATCATTAAGTAAACTTAGCTAATGATAACAAGTGAACAGCAAAATCCATTTGCAGTTGATGAATTCGACACTGGCTTTCTTACCAGTTGGAGTTGGAAGTTTAATGGACTTTTAATTTCTGGTCGATTTATAGATGCCAACTGTAGAATGCATGTTTGCATATTGTAGTTACGGTAACTTACTTTATATAATGTATTTTGATGATAGATGATTCATCCTGTTGTGTTTACGGAGCAACGCTGAGCGGCAATGCCGGGCCTGAAACTCTAAACATTCGTTTAGAAGTATGGTGATACATTAACGTACATGACAACGATAAACGCGTGAACGCAACTCAACATAATTTCATGCTATTGTCATTTCCTTTGAAGGTTCCATTCGTTCGAGTACGCTGAAAGGCGTGATCGCTCTTATGAGATCTCATCGTTTGTTGAAACGCAAGCGACCAACCTGTTAAAAGAGCATCCTGTTGAATTTGTAAACTACAACAAACGACAACTCAGTAGGATATACCCTAGTGGCACACGGGTGTCCTCTAGCAACTATATGCCGCAGGTATGTTCGTCATGCAGAGGATAAAAGACAATGAATGTTAACCTCCTATCTAACGTCTTATTATTCCCTGTGTATCTTCAACTTTATTTGAAGAGCAACAGCCGGTAAACGGATCCCATGTAGAGTTCTAGAAGAAATACGATCACGCTCAACTTGTAGCTGCGTATACTATGAGAAGGTTTTACGTAATGCTAGTAAAAAAAAAAAAAAACTTTACCTGGCATCGTATGAGATAAACCGAACGCTATTTTAAAAGCAGGAAATATCATTACTTGTGGGGACGCGTACCTATTGAGATATGTTTGTCGACCTCATTCAACATTTAAATTCAAAATTTATTGATCTTTATTGAATCAAGATGTCTCTATTTAGAGCTAAACCTACGAAGTGCAACATTACACTGTTACAACAAAGATGCATTGCTACCGCTTTGCAAGGAAAAAATCATACAGGGATTCTTTTACCTTTCTGTAACATTACTTTTTACCACACTCCAATGTTCATGGGACCTAATGAACGACCCCTAGACCCACAGAACGTCGGTACCTATTAGTTGGTGGTAATAATCCGCCCCATAGACCATTAGCTAGCGAGAGAGTAGCCCTAAATACTCATCCAATTTTTGCGTATGCTATGCGCTATGCATATACACTGGACGCTACCTAACCTTAGACAATCAATTCTGTAAGTTCAAATCTGCTTCCTCTAAGGTTGAATCTAAAATTGATCGGCTAAGCTGTTCTATTATACTGCTGCATCGCTCTCACTAACCGGTTGGAAGTAATTTCTGTTATTTTACTGCAATTATCTTCCCGCCCCATTAGGTCCCTCATTAACCTATTTTCTAGTAACCGACTGCATTGGTTAAATCATTCGTTACTGTTGTACACTTATTCCATTACCCTCTTGTGCCAACTAGATTATATTATGTCAGTTTATACATAACAGGGGTGCCATAATTGGGTTTAAGCTATTCTGCTGTCCCATCTTCTAGTCGCTCGTTGTTCTATTTACCAGGTCGCTTATGCCGTACAGGATTAACCCATTAGCTTGCTACTGTTAATCTTATACCCTATTGAAATTCTCAACCGTTACCAAGGTAACGACTCACAATAGCCACTTCATTTTCGAGGCAGACGGGCAAGCTTTTTAGATATTTTAACGTAAAATAGATTTTTCTAGACGTGTTGTTGGCTTCTCGACAAATGAAACTTGTGCCTTATGAAGTAATATTCGTTTTCGCTTTAAAAATAATTATTACATAACTATATGTAAATTAATACTAACATTCAATATTAAGGTAATATGTGTTTATGGATTCGATATTTCTTCGTAAACGCACCTATTGAATAGGTCTCATTTGGTATTCCTTTTTAATTTCATCTTTGTAAGGTGTTCTGGAACGCCGGCTGCCAACTCGTGGCGCTTAATTTCCAAACGTTGGACCTAGGGATGCAGCTAAATTTGGGCATTTTTGAAGTAAACGCAAGGTCCGGCTTCCTGCTCAAGCCCGATTTTATGAGAAGGCAGGACCGTCGATTCGACCCCTTCGCTGAGTCCACCGTAGACGGCATCATTGCGGGAACCGTCTCCATTAGAGTTATATCCGGTAAACCATCTTCAAAAGGAGACCAAGTTCTTCCAGACGAACATCCAATTTAACTAGTATACTTCAAGTATACATGAAATACTGAATCACACAGAACCATTTGCAGAAATATGCCTTCATGCTTAACATTCTAATATAACACAAACTCCAGCAACGGTGTGTGATCTCGGTTGTTTGAGATCCTTTACGAAAAACTGAAAAAACACCTTCAAACTATGTGTAACGCATTCTACGCTTTATTGCTTATTAATTGGGTACAACGAACGAATCAGACAAACGAAACCAAACAGTTCTCAAGTACTCAAAAAATAGTGGATTAAAGATCCGTTACATGAACAAACTACTACACTAACTTTTGGAAACCGGGGTTCATGGACTATACAATATGCACTTTATGGGTCTCAACCTATCTTAGCTTAGAATTACATACACATCTTGCTTTACTAATGTTCTACTGAAGTCTCTTCCATCAGGGATTTATAAACGATTTTTGTTCACATTGTTTTACGTCTATTATCTACATAATGAGAACAAAAAATACAACAAAGCTACACGTACAAATTATATGGCAGCACAGATGCTTTCAGACAACAATATTTACATAGGTTGATGAAAAAATTTAACTATAAAGGTATTATATTTTGCAGCATTTCCTAATAACAGACGAATAAATACAGATGACGTTGTCATCAAAGTCCAAACAAGAATTAAGATTGGCGGTACACGATTTGCTCGGGGGTATTAAGGTCGCCAACACTGGTTGTTGCTAAAAAGTTCTGCAAGCAAATGTAGATCCTTGACCAAGAAAGGCACCCTTTTTTTGCAGTTTGGGTATACACGAAAGATAAATTGATTTATTTATTTATGTGCACAAAAAGTACTTTAATTCCTTGAGAAGTGCGGTCTCCAAAAACTCCTAGAGGCTACTGGTTACATTTCAAAAGTCAGTAAGATTTACATGAGTGAATCTCAGTCTGCTTTCAAGCGTTTACCTATTTATAACATTGTATGTTCCGTTGACTTATATATCCAGGGCAATTCCTAACTGAAAAACGAGTAGGTACGTATGTTGAAGTAGACATGTACGGCCTACCCGCAGACACAGTTAGACGGAGATTCCGAACGCGAACAGTTCCGGCAAACGGTATCAACCCCGTGTACAATGAGGAGCCATTTATTTTCAAAAAGGTATGTCGTTGTCGATTTTTTTTTGTTTTTTATTAACCCTCAGAAAATTGATTCACACACTACTTATTGCCTTCAAGTATTGGAGAGTTAAGCGCAGTAGCTCATAGCAGCTAGACGAGCACACCCGTTCCGAGTTGCAAAAAGGTTTCAGACCATAGATTTAACTTAATCTTTCACAACTCTTTTGACAATTTAATGTTATTCAGCTGCAAATGCGACTGCGCAATCCACGATGTAATTTTCTTACGTATCGCCATTCTTGTCCAATGTAATAATCTACTGTAAAGCTTCCCAATCGATCGTATTAACTGTTTGTGGCTTTGTTAATTGGGGTTAATTGGGTTGGGCAAAGTAGAACTTGTACTGTCTTATAATAGCTTCATAGTTGCAGTAATTGCCTCATTGGTCTGTCACTATACTGCAAAAGCGTGCAGATAAACTAAAAGTATTGGCTTCAAATATTACTCCATGTCCCACCCAAGATCTGGACAGAGGCATTGACTAATCGAACTTCGCAATATTGGATATATCGCAGCAATGCAGGACCTTAACTATATCACAAGTCATAATACAGCTCTACCTAATTGCGATTGTGCTTTGAGCCGATACACTAAATTTCTATAGAACAATGCGTTCAGAGACAACAATTTACTGCTTTGTCATAACCTGATTGAGCTCGGCAGCAAATTATCAGAAATCGTGACGGACATTCGCTCGAATTCGACAATGGTACATCTGAAAATACTGTTACGCTGCTCGGAAATCCGTAGCGACAGAATTATTATAGTCTAAAATGTCATCATTGTAAAGCTCAGCAAGCTTTACGAGTACAATAACGAATGATATTTGGCAATTTTTATTATAGGAGGAGCTAGTTTTCTTAACTGTATGTAGCTTTAAGCCATACCGTACTCTTTGACACATATTTGAATAGATAAAAGCGCGTAAGTAGAAAAGAGCTCACAGAGTGTGTAAAAGTTTGATCAATAGACGGTATTACTATTGGCTTTCGGAAGTTTATATAATTACTTTGATTATTTAAAACCGATACGATACCTCGACCCATTGCGTGATTTTCAGACACACAAAAAACTTTGTCATTATGATTACACTCAGCGTTCCATTCCAACTATCGAAGAAATGATGGTGGTTTAAAAAATTACTAGATAAGGTCATTAAGGAGTTGCGCGTCGAAGTATGGTTTTTAATTTCTCACATTAACCTGGGGGTTTTTTTCTCACGTAGTATGCATATCTTGTCCGTCCCCTTACGACGCTGTAGTAAGGGTAAAGAGGTTTTCATTAGTTTAAGGCGGATTTAAAATACTCAAGGCTAAATTTTCTAGAAACAAGTGTAGGTAGCAAGTCCTTGTTATGTCCTGCAAATCCGCGTTCCTGCATCGCTCTAGACAAGGCTCACCTGTGAATTGGTTTATTCGAAAATCCTTTATGTTAATTGCCGACCTGAAGGATCAAGCGAAAATTTCGATTATGGTTAAGCTAAATTGGCCACCCAGAATCGCAAGGCAATGGTCCGCGAACATCTGCTCATCCAGATGGCCAGTTGAATGGAGTAAAATTGTGGTTTAGTGAGAAACGGCATCTAAAAGGCCATCTTTAAAAAGACCGTCTACTATATAACCTCAGTAAACAGTAATCTCTGAGCCAATATCGTAGGCGATACAGTTATCTATCGTCTTAGCTGTACTCCTGTTATCTATGCTAGGGAAATTAAAAAAAAAAAAACTTTACCCATTATCATTGACTTCTTTATTGATTTTTTGTGTGATTCAACATTGCAACCCTAAAAATAGTCATGCTGCACTCGCTCAGCAGATAGCCTAAAATAACACATTCGGTGACACATCAGCTATTTCCTCGTCTACAACCACTTATAACATTATCTAGAATTACGAAATGCCCATTTTCTAGCCAAAACAAGCAGTAGCTATGTCGTTCGGGTATATAGGTAGTTTTAGTGATATTTGACTTTTTGTATCATATGTAATTAACAAGTAGCCGCTGAAATTGTTCATCATTTCAGGTAGTTCTGCCGGATCTGGCTGTGATTCGCGTTCAGGTGTGTGAAGAAAATGGCCGTTTTCTTGGTCACCGCGTGCTGCCCGTGGTGGGGTTACGCCCGGGCTACCGGCACATCTCTCTAAGGAACGAGGCGGGGCAGCCCTTGACGCTGCCTACGCTCTTCGTCCACATTACAGTTAGAGGTATTGCCCACTGGATATGTGCGTGTTTATGTAGATTATATTTTTAGATTTTTTAGATTTATATTTTTTTCGTATTTGCATATCTGCCAGTTATTCAGATCTGCTTAACAACGGATGTTTTTGCAACCGCTCATATCTAACTTTAATAGGCTTATGTGTTTTGAAGTAATAAAATAAAAATATTAAAAAACTACTTAGAAATAAAAATAAGTTCTGTTACTTTTATTTTTACTAAGCTCTAAAGACACTTGTAGTGCAATCGATTGAAATGAGACAAATTGGGAGTTTGTTTCAAAGGTAGCGCATAATGCTGGGGGATGCACTGGCGTTATCTACGGTACGCTCTGTGACCTCTAGAAGTTTATCTTAAAAACACTGAGAGCTCTTCCAAAGCACATGTTTTCGATTATGGCTCCCTCCGTATCTATAATTTCATACTTTGTAGTTGTTTACCTGTTAAAAGATTCGTGTGAAATTTCACACTTCAAGCCGGTATGAAAAAAAAATAGGTGTATAAGATGAAGCCGCTACGCGATACAACAATATAGCATCTGTTGAGTCTGATTAAGCAAGAAAAGAGCTTTGACCAACGGGATCAACTATTAAATACTTCGATACACGTTTACATAACACTGTTGTGAAACGTCTGCAGCGGACAATGGTGGTGACTGTAAGCCAAGCATACGAATTCAATAAAAAAGCTCAGTTCTGAGTACCATTCGCAAGAATGTTGCGGATCATGTATAAGTTGGCTTGTAGAGCGTTCATTCGCTTGTATTTTTTGCTTTACAATTGGCTTTTAGTAAAACTATGATTATACATATATTGAAATTTTTTACATAGCTATTATACCACTTCTTATTTGCGTTCTGCCTCTTGTCCAGTTTCTCTAATTCATTTAGTCACCTCTTCTCCCGGCCGCACTGCTCATTTAAGAGTAAATAAATTCTCACGTTATTTTATCCCCAGAATAAGCTCTCTTATAATACTCTAATGTATGTACTGCTTTAGCCAGCCCAGAGTTATCCTTAAGAACTTGCCTAAGATACTACTCGGTCATTTCTGTGCAGTAAGCTTACGGTATATAATTTTTTCATACTTTCCATATTTGTACTGTTAACATAGGGCATTTTGCACAATACCATACTATATTTAGTCGTATATGCCAAAGCTCTGTGCTACGTATATCATACACGCTACTGCTATCCTTAATTTGGCAGCTTGTTTTACCAACTGCGTAAAAAAGCAAGTAAATCAAATGTTTAGTTTAACTCCTAAGTATTTTATATAAACAATCTATAAATAACTTAAATATAACCTCAATTATGCTTAAATAAATGAGTTTTTGTACTGTTACCATTATATTGGAAAAATCTATATCATCAATGTAGGGATTACGTATAACTATGAGTGGTGACGGCCATATATCACAATTACAGATTACGTACCGGATGGGCTTTCCGAGCTCGCAGATGCCCTGGCTAACCCCATCCGATATCAGTCGCGGATAGAGAAGCATGCCACCCAACTGTTGGCACTCACTGGAGGAGATGACGATGAACCTGCGGAAGATAGTTCCACGACGGAGCAAAAATTGACCGCCGACACTTCCGATTTTTTGGCAAGACCGGGGAGTAATAATAGCATCCTACCGGAACGATCGCACCACACGATGCAGGCGAGTTCCTACTTGTGTCTTGTAGAAACATAGTAATTCCAGAAAACGAATTTATGAGGTGTCTGCCTAAGTTTGGTAAAAGAGGCGCCGGATGCCTATAATTAGATTAAAAATCTTCTAATACGATCCTTAGAGGTAAACAGAGATGTTTTGAGGCTTAAATGCTTCCGATTAATCGGAGTAGGATAGGTTTAGCCTATCGAGTGCTACAATTTCAAAAGGGGCTTAAGTTAAAACGTTTTCTTAAAGAATCTTTAACAAATTTTTGAAGAATCGAACTGTTTTCAAGTCTTCCACGTTAGTATTTTTTCTGTCCTTTCAACAAACACAACATTGTTTCAGTCTTGAATCTAACACGCCGTGGAAGCTGCCGTCCCATTAATCGGTCTAAATATTTGAAACCAGTTGGGTAACTTAGCTTAGTTGTTTTTCAACTAACTTACGGTACCTACGCAATGTTAAGTCGATATACAGCTTGTAGTTCATTCACTGATATCTAACAATATCGAAAATAAAAGACTCGAGTTGCTGCATAATCATAATTGTCTAAGTAGAAATTTTTAGAATTTTTTATTTCAGTTTATGGTGTCTAGTTTCTTAGTTAATTTCCTATCTATAAATCCGAGCATTTGATTACGGCGAAAAAGTTTAGCAGTCTGCAAATTGGATGGCCCTACAATTATCAACACGAGCCTCGTTTTGTTAATTATAGGATCTGTTGAATATTTTAGAATTATCAAAGTAGACCCAATGTAAATATTGAACCTAAATTGGCCATGATATGAACAAACGTCGAATTGGAATCGAGTGTTAGTGTCTAGAGTGTAATTTATCTCATATGACGCAGAATATCTGTTTGTTTCTTCACTGAATAGAATAGGGGGCTATAAATAAAAAAAAAGTAATGCCATCGCTGCTGTTTTTCATCGTTGCAGGTGTCGTTAGAGGGTGCACGGGATCACTCACCTGCTTCAAGTGTAGAATATAGTGCGCATGGACCAGGAGCTATACATTCCATATCTCGCGATGGCCCAACCGCTATACCTACAGCAACTAACCTAGCTGAACGTAACGTAGTTAATGAGTCGGCCAATGGAACAACTTGCCAGTCACCAACCAAGCACCCTTCTCCCCAGGTAACAGAGCAATTACAGGGCTGAAACCAAATCTCGTCAATTTCAGCACAGCTCCCTACAATTTGGCCTTGAAGAGAGGCGAAACTTCGTGCATTATTTCGTCCGTTTCCATTTTGGACTAAAAGGGTTTCGAAACAGGATATTTTTTAATCGACTGTCAACCCTTTATACTGACAGATGTACGTCACACGTTGGCATATACGGTTTTTCCGATTTGTTTTGAAATGGGAAGAAAAATAAACACTTTTCGACCAAATATTATCTTTTGGTGAAGTTAGATCTTTCTTTTACCGAGATATGGACATCTTGATCCTATTCGATAGATACGTTGACTCGAAAAAAAAATGTTGTTTTTCTTAAGGCAATTCACTTTGTAACCTGAAGTTCGTTCTATTTGCTCCAAAGGTATTTTGACCGCTACCGATTGATAAACTATCGTAGTTCGCATCCAACTGCTATCAGTTTAAGTTGCCTTTTTGCTAAGTTTTGTGCTTAAATTACTGGCATATGGACACGAAACATTAGCAGAGAACGTTTTTTACATTTTTCAAATTTAGACAATGCAAAAATATATAAAGAGCGAATATATAAAAATATTCTACATTTTTTAGGTATAATCTCTGGGTTGTTGTACCAACTCTGTTGTTCTAAGTTAACTTACTAGTATCATCATATGCTTAAGCTGAAAGTTAAATGCCACACTAAAAGCCGCTAACATATCCAAACTACATTACAGAAGGGCTCGAATCTCTAGCGCTACGTAAATTTTAGCTTCAGTGTATGATGGATACTGCGAAACAATCCTCCATTGCCAGTCTACTAATAATAGTCATTTGGTTTATTTTACGATAACTGCCTTTGAAATGCGCAAAGAACTGCTCTAAAGAAGGTTGAATTGGTCTAACAAAAGCTCAGAATGTCAAAGAACCTCAGATAATCCGAAAAATACCAACAAACTGTAACGAAAAGTAAAGAAAGCATCTTTTGCTCAAAATTAGGACGCATATTGAATGCAGAACTGGACATTTTGAATAAAGAAAAAACAAAGTTAGTACTGAGATCTCGAAAACGCTAACAACAACTACAAATTTTGTCCCACTAGGACAGGCAAATGATTGTTATTATAATTATGTTCGGGAAATCTCTCTGTTATGCTACGACGCGCAAAACTTTCAGTAATTGTCTAGCAGCTTTCTACGATTGCGCGAAACTAGGATAACTAACTATATATCTTGTTTTAGAGATATAGAAAAAACTACTATTTGAAAGGTATACAGTGCACGCTATCACTTTAGGAATTGTGACGAAAGCAAGATTTTTCCCGTTCTTGTGCCTTATGTAGAATTTCGTTCATAATTTTCTTACTTTTCACAAGTTAAGCACATGTGTGGGATTCTATTGGGTTTTATAAGAACAAATGCTGTGTCGTACCTAACTTACCGCTTTCCCGTTCTTAGATTTTGTTCCGACAAGACACGATGGGAAGCTCTCAGCCACAGCAGCAGGCAACAACGAGTCTTTCAAATGACGTGGCGGTCGAAGCAGGTGTTTCTTCAGCGTCCGGTTCGCTTCTTGAGTCGAGTCAGGTGGATTATGCTGCTTCATTCTTTGTAACTTTCTACGAAACTTTATCTATGTTTTTTAAGGAAAATATTAGTGAGATATGATAAACAAAAGAGATTCATGTGCAAAGCTCAAGTTCACAAGTGGCTAATTAACAAATCAGAAGTGGAACAGGAGAATTCTAAGTTAAAAATTGTGCCCTCGGAAACGTGGTAGAGCCGAGACTTGTTGGGCTCGCGCCTGACAATGTTAATTCAAATGTAAGCCATTCACAAATCATATGCGTTTATTTCACAGCATATTTTCGAACAGGCGATGCTGTATCAACTAGCTAGTAATAGTGTAGAACTATTTTGCTGGAAGACGTACGTCAACTATCCAGTTTGTAGAACACGTAAATACATTTTTTTGCTGATAGTCCGTGATATGCTAGCCATACTTCCTACTTACAAGCTGACTCAAATAAATTCCACAACGGCTCCGACCAACTCTAGAGTTTCCCCTGTTGTTGATCTTTTATTCAGCTGTGCCGGAACTAGTAGTTGCTTCTTCTGCAGCTGTTTCTTCGCTTGCAATGCCGTAGAATATCGATTTAGGGCAACAGAAGAGGCTTATTATGTCGCCAATACTTCGCTCCATGCGAAAACACTTTATAATATAATGGATATTCTTTGTTTAAATGGCGATGTCAAAGCACTGCTCCGGGCCATGGCTACAAATCTGTTTACATCTTATTTAGATCAAGTTCACTTAAGATAAAAATCACACGTGTCTCACACTAGAAACAACGCGGGACATCGAGACTAGTAGCATTAACGATAAAAGCAAGCAAGCAACAGTTCCATATGGATGTCATTGATAAGGACCGGCCTGCGTTAAAAATCGTTTATCTAAATGCAATTTATACAACACTTATATAGTTAAAATTAATGTAATCTGTTTATAAGGCTAAGCGTTTTGTGTTTAAGGATCCAGCTAACCTAAATCCAATTGTTCTATTTCGTGCTGAGTTCGCGCTTACTTTCTCTATACACACAGTAGTTTCGTGCTCTTAAAAAAATCAGTTAATTCTTGCTCTTTATATATTCTTCCAGGTTACCGCCCAGGGTTTGGAAAAAATTAGGGAGACTAAACCAGTGGTAAAGGTACTTGCTAAATTGGAAAAAGATTTATTAGCAGTGCGCAAAAAATTTGAGAAGTTAAAAGATCGTGAACGTGAATCGGAACTACAAAAAGAAGAGAAGTGTATACAACAACATCTGCAACAACATCCACATTCAGCAAGCGGAGGCGCTTCCGTTGCATCTGTAGCGGGACGCATGAAACTTGTCGCAAAAACCACAGCGCGTCTGGGGAAGAAGATGTCATGTGGTGACGTGTAAGTATTACATTTTTATTTTTGCTTCTAAACGTTTCTGATTCCATGAACAATGTTTCACATGTATGGTCATCTGTAAAGTACAGTTCAAATTTGTGCATATAGACAATTTAGATAAGAACAGCAAATTTCGATAAAAACTCAGGCTGAATATCCTTAAAATAAAGTGTCCCTTTTTCGTTTCCACCTATTTGATAACCGTAAAATTTAGTCTTCCTCGTAAGTTCTAGTTTTCCTAGAAACCTCTCTTAGTAAGTTCAAATTATAATCGACGACAAGCTATTTGCAAAGCCTTTGAATTATACTTAAATTTTTAGCTTTATAGCATGTACTTATACCGTAAGTCTTACTTTATCAGAAACGTCAGTCGAAATAGTTGTGTGAGTAACAATAACAGCAGCGAAAATTGCCACTACACTTGGCAAAATTCTTTCTCTCTGTTTCAAATATTCAAAAACATTCTCCAAAAACAGCGACTTATGCATTCTGGATAATCAATATCTTATTTATGATCTTGATTGGACCTGAATTAAGAATGCTTGTGCTGGTGCTCAAGAGGTAAAACTTGCAGCTGATCCTGTCCGCTTTTCGAAGAAAGCCATTTTCGCTGCTGTAAATTAATGGCTGATTTGTAGACCTGAAATTTTCGACCGATTTGGACGAATTGTTCGAGTTCGGAAACTGACTAAACTAAAAATTTTGTTTTTGGTGCTTGACCTAAACTGCCTTCTAACTTCCAGCCTTTAAGTCCTTTGACTACTCTTATAATACCGTAAGGTAGAAGCGTTCAGCCTCATAGCGTTGCGACCTTCACATGTGGCCCTCTGGCATTGTTGGGATACAATAACATTAAACGTCGTTAAGTGACCTACTTAAAGAAAGAAATACTTTCTTTGATGGGAAATGTTTGTGTTACTTAAATTCAGTGCATGTGCATCGGTATACAGCGCTCATATCGCTCATTCCCGCGGGAAAAGACAATAGGCTATAGTAAACATTAAATATAATCGATATTATTATCAATTATCCAGGGTGCCTTTAACTGCATACTACTAATTCACAAGTAATCTCCGCGGATATATCTACTGAAGGGATTCGATCGGTCAGAAAGTCATTTAGTTTTTTCGTTCATTTTTTGAAAAAGACCGGATGAACTTTCCGATTTTTTTTTCTATTCTACGTGCTTTTCTTCCATAGCCAAAGCGACAAATTAATTTTTTGCCGAAGGATGAAAACATACATGGAAGTGGTAAAACTTTTAGTGGATTTTGAACTTTTATCCTATTTAGAAGGTTTGCCTCTATAATCCGATGAAACACTATTTGGGTGCAAGTGCAAAAGAAGTTCCTCGTCTATTATCTATCGGAATTATTATTCTGATTAACTTCTTTGCATATTGGAAATTTCGCTTTCTGTTTGTGGTTCGAAAGTTACAGTTTTCTTTAACAATGCGAGTGTACCACGTGTGGGTATTTGATCCACTTTCTGCATTTAATAGGTCCCAAATTTAGGCTATTCTAAAAACGTTTGAATCGAATCTTGCCTTTTTGACTGAATCTTCCGGAATATCTCCCGAGAGAGCACATATTGAAGTTCTACGACTTGTTAAATTCGGCAGTGTTGAACATTTATGTAGCCAAAAACATCAATTTTTTAAGCAATCTGTTTTACGAAGCGAATTAACGCTATATCAGCCGAAAATAGGAATACTTTTAGACTTCAGTCACTGACTGTGTTTTCCGAGTGTGTGTTCATAACTTTTACTCTTCTTTTTAAAAGGTCTCTTATTAGGGAGTTGATACCCTAAGGTGTTCTAAGATTAGCTATGATCGCGACCATAAAAAGAATAGCTATGGAAATCGAAGAACATTTATATTAAGTTTCACTCTCGTATATGACATATCTAGCTCGGTCTTTACTTCAATATATATTTCCTTTTACACTATATTACACCAACGGGACTGGCGCGACACCTTGCAAAATTATAATTTATTTTCTATGCGACTCAAGGGTGCTATTAGTTTTGAACAAATATAGACTTGCCAAAAGTTTTTGAATCGCACTTATAATAATATCTCGTCGTCTAGCTTACAGTTCGCTCCGTCTAGATGAACGATGGATAAAGAGTCAAAACAATTTGCTTCATTCCATTTAATACAAGGGCATTTAAAACGTCATTTTGATGTTGAGATCATACGAGTTTACGCATAGGCTTACTTATCTTCCAGAGCGTTTAATTTTAATAAAATATGAATCCCCGGAAGCATAACGCTAGAATCGTTTGGCTTACTTAGAATTAGCTGACTTGCGATTAGATACTTTTAAAGAATTCAATTAGTACGACTTTTTTTTTAGTTTTAATAACTGTAATTACATTACATTATTATTAATAAAAGTACTTTTTATTGTTGGCTTTGAAAGACTATGATTGCATGAAAAATTAAAAATTCAAGTCTTATTTAGGTTACTTTCTTAAATTGTTGTTTTTACAGCTGTTATGCTCAATCGATAAGTATGAAGGGTTCCAGAAAATGTAAACCTCCTGGCAAATAATGGCTAGATATCCCAAGCTACATTATATATAAAGACAACAGCATGAAAACGACATTTTTGCCATTTCCGATTTGCGTTATTTGTATTAGTTTTGGAATAGCTGAAGAAACTGCATATAAAAACTGATCAATGTTTACCATCATACGGGAAGTGATTCCATATTTCGTAAAAAAGAAGCGTTCACTGTGTTATGATCGTATGGTGAAAAAAGTAGGTATACGTGTGAATACGTATTATATAGGTATCAAAATTACATAAAGGTGTTCTGTTAAATAGGCCAACAACGGCAAAATATTTCCATTTTTGCTCATCATGCTCCCAAACTCAGTGAACTAGAGATCAGGTGAAAATATACAGTAAACATAAAGCTCAAGAACTTTCAAGGAAGTCTATATGATACATACCTTATTTCAAAAATAACCTCAGTAACAAATTTTAGTATATGCTTCATTCAAGTCATTTTGAACGGCTTCACTGAAACGTTGTGCGTTAGTGTATGACGATAGACACAAACCTACGCTACGGAACTATTAGGTATGAAGATAAACATACTTCAGGTAGGCATGAGGGGTTGTTGTCTAGATTCAAATCCAAACGTAGGCACCGGATGTAATACTAGAAACACAGAAACATGAGGAATATGCATATATCTAAATACTGAGCCAACATTTTCTGATTTTGTTCATTTTATAGCCATAGATATTATGAAAGAGCTCAAAAACTCGACTTTCCATTATAAAAAAGCATTTGTTAGACCCTTGATAACAAGTATGATGGAAGTCAATGCTATTAGGAATCTGCGCAATATATATATATATATAGAACCTTCAATTGACGATACATTAGTAAACTTTGTTGAAAATTTGTATACGTAGATAGTTGATGGGTGGCTACAGGCTCCTGTCGTGAAAAGTGTGATTGTTCTTTTTTAATGTCTATATGTAGGGTCAGTGTTGCAAACTTATTACGCCAAACAACTTCAATGTATGTTCTTAATTAAGGAAAGCTACGAATCACAATTTTTCGGTGAATTACCCGCAACATACCATTAATGATTTAGGGAAGAATGTGGGCTAAAAAGGTAAAACTTAAAAAATAAAACCATTAAGTTATTGGGAGCACGTATAAGATGAAAAACAACAAATATATAAAGGTCTTCGCGGCCGGCAGGGGTTACTATTTTTAGTGCATTTATACACAACTGATATTCGAATGTGAAGATAAGCAGTCACTCTACGGATATGCTCATTTATATATACAAGGTAGCATTATAACATATGCACATTAAGGGTATTACTAAAGAATTTCCGCAAGCTCCTGCAAAAAGTGAAGCTTGTGGATGCATCAAGCAAGATGATATAAGACACTGGATGTAGGAAAAAACAAAAAAAATGTTACTCTGTTGGCAAAATATTTAACACCTTGTTAATCGGATTTTTAGGTTACATACCTAATGGAATTGGTATTTGTCTCATAGAATTATTTATCAATGAAATTGTGTGTATAAAGAAGCTAGTTAAGCGTCTCACCAATATTGATTTCCTGTAATCTGTTTTATTATTCGTTGAACGTTGGCCGTGGTGTTTGGAAATATCCGCCCGCAGTGGACACGTACGAAATGATGGCGGTCCGTCAGAAGAACAGCGACTTAAGATCGAGCAAATGCAACGAAGCCACGCAGAAAGTGTGGCTGCCATTTTACGAGAGCAGTATAAAACCGAGATGCAGATTCAACAAAAATATTCAGATGCGGTACGTTGCCTACAGTAATTCAGCTGTTTTAACTCAAATTAAGATATTTTCTTTCTGATTTTGTCACTTTTACGGGAAAGGATTTTAAATCAAACAGGAGTTGTATTATGATTTCACTTTAAATATACTTAATAGAAATATATGTTAAACGTGTCTTAGATGGAATTACAGTAGAACTAACGTAGGCATAGCCTCAAAAGATAAAGCTAGTACCTAATGATAATAATAATTATTATTATTATTATTGTTATTACAGAATTCGAAAAATAAAAGATTTTTAACCAAAAAGGTGATTTTCCTTCACAGGTATTTTCAGCAATGGAGAAAGCGATGCTTCTATCACAAACTCAACAAAATCAACAGCTTCAAGATCTACATGATAAGTAAGCTGAATTAGGTAGTTTATGTTAGTGGATTATTTGTTGTATCGTGGTGTAGAAATAAGGTCGTCGGCTAATGAAATTACCTATACAGATAAAAGTGCCAAGTGACATAGCACTGGCTTTTATCTTCCCTAACCGTCTAAATGCCAGATCAAGGTTCTAAAGAGCCAGTACAGATCAGGCACTTCCAAGGTAGAAGCCGGCATACTATAAATTTCAGAGTGCCATACGATAAGTCAATAGTCGCTGATGTTATGCAAATTTATAATGAAAATCAATATTCAACACTCTGGTGTAGTTAATATATAAATATATACAAATATACAAATAAAGGAATGATAACTATTGTTTATACTTATTATTAGATCTAACGAGTGACTAGGAAACGTGCGAGATTTTTTTCCAGCCGTTTTCTTTTGATTGAAAATTTGTGTTTATAACACCGTTCTTATGGGTAGAGATATGACTTCTTATGTTAGGTCCCTTTGCATGTTGTTAAAAAGGCTATTTCTCTGTTTATGGTTCCTTTCAAAGATTTTTTACACAGTTTCTGATCTCGACAAAACTCCGTCAAACTTAATAAAATTCCGTCTATAATACTAAGCCCTATGCGGTACGCTGACGATACATCAGCTTGCAGTTTAAGCTTTTATTTCCTAACCGCATTAACCATGTTTAAACTTGTAGTTACTTGCTACCTTTATGTCTGACCCGTTGGGTTTACCGTTGCTACTAGGTAGCTGCTTCCAGCCAACTTTAGCGGCTTCGCTATCTCGACGCAACTACGTTTATCGAAATGGAGTGTGCTGACGGTATAGCGTCCTCGACATCCTCATCACTAGGCTGTTCACCATCCTCACGGCTATACGCCGTCTTAATAGCAGTTCAGTACCTTATTATCCTCGTCAATCCATCGTTCTCGTACGATGACGGCCCCTTTTATTCCGGGAGTTTTCACAACCCAAACTTGGCGATAGCCTCTCTGTTTTAGGGGCCATGTAGGCTGTGAGAGCTGACGTCGCTGCTGGCATTAACAGCTACCCCTGTCAGTCTGTCTCCTCTGGCAACCTTACTAATTACTGCACCTTGAATCCATCTAGCTGTTACTTTGTTCGTATTTATTTTTGTTAAAAAGTAAGTATTTCGTTGATGTTTTGATGAATGTGGAAATCACCTTACCTAGGTCTATGTGCTCTCCTTATAAAGTTGCGTACTAGGCAATAGCAACACTCTTGCTTTGCAAGTAAGTATTGGCACCACGAAATGCGCATAGTTGATGGGAAATTTTAAAATAAAAACTCTGTTTCATAACTATCATCTTGTCTATATATTTTATGGCGCAGTATAGTTAAGGTTTTAACATTGCTTCTGTTCATCGTCAGGGAAGTGGCTGAACTTATGAAGCGTCTAGAGACATCGACTAAAGACGATATGAAACTCCTTATTAAGAAACACAAGGACAAGAACGAGCTCGACCGAATCAAGCGCGAACTACAGCAGAAGATGATTGGCGAAGCCGTCACCGAACGTCAAAAGGTTGTACCAATGCTAATTAAATTACCGTAAACATCCTGCTAAATCAAAGTCACTGTATCCAAAGTAGTGATTGAAACCTGAACAGCATGACTGTTCGTATAAGAACATAAACATAGTACAGATAGGTCCTGTACAAAAACAGTTAATGCTTACACGTTATAAAACAAAGTTGGAATGTGGAGTAATTATCCATTTCTTAATAGTTGCTTAGTGGCAGGCATCAAAGCCAACTAGCAGAATAACCTTCAGAATCTTTACTAGCTATAAGCCTAGCAATATGAGATTTCATATGATAATTGTAGATCTTACGAGAGACATTATACAAAATCACAGCACAACCTTCATAACGCTCAGGTGTGATTTGTGAGGACAGAACTGCCTCATGCTAACAGATATCTCAAATGAGTATTTTAAAGACATTCTGTTAGGTCGCAACAAACGTCGATGCGCCACAAAACACCTTTAAATTTTATTTTTTGTACCTATCTATTTACTAGTTAAACTAATAATTGCTATATCAAGTATTATAGTACTAAGAAAAAAAAAGGCTAATATATTTCAATAGAAGAATCGGATATATTAATGGTGTCTAAATACTGTAAAAATCTGACACGTAATTATACAAAATATAAAGAGGCGTTGTGATTTAGGTTGCTGAACTTTGGACCGGCAGTAACGAATTAGTGTTTACAATCGATTTAGTTTCGTGCGTATAGATGTGTTAATTAATAGATACTAGGGTAAATTCTCAATAGGTCTTTTTTACGTGTATTTATTATGAGTGTCGGTTCTCATGAATCAGATATAAACCCATGTTGCGGTCTCCTATCCTCTAATTAGTCTACTCGTGCAAATCCGTGACCTAGTCAATTGTTTCATATAAGCAACTTCGGATTCGAAAATTTTACAAAATCTGCCTTAAAACCTCTCGTTTCGTAGTTACGGTACTTTTCGAAAATCAAATGTATTGAAGAGGATCTGTTAAGGTAAATAGCAAGCACCCTATTTTTACGTGGGAATAATAAAATTCGGTATTCGGTCGAACTTGGCGATTCGTTAGCCTAACAAGTAAATGTAAGTATCCTAAGTGATCAGAAACTACCTCAACGTCGTGCAATTTTAGTGGCGAAATTAATTTTTAGACAGCCATTTAAGAGAATATAAAGGTGTTTATTAATAACGGAACAATTATTGTTTATTTATTTATTTTTCGTGTTACTACAGATGAGCTGCATTTTAGAGAAGAAGAAAAAGGAGTTGGAGAAACAACACGAAGAAGTACGCCGTAGACTAGAAGAGGAGCGAAGCCAGGCGACGGTACAGTACCAACGCCAGTACAACGATAAATGCAGCCTGCTCGACGCGCAACTAGCTAAAAATCCGGCATCGTTCTTGGACTCTGTAGCCCCATTGCACCGGCACCAGTCAGAAAGGAAACAAAGTACACACGTGTAATCTACCCGAATAGTCTATTTCCATCAAAAAGTACAAGAAAAAACAATCGAGATGCTCGATAACGTCCCTTAGGTAACTAACGGACCAGTGGGGAGGTCATCTTTCTGTCAACGATGAACCCAGATATCCTAACCAGAGATTTGACTGCGCACCTTAAAACAATGGGACGTAAGTCAACTGGCGAATTTGTTTTGCTTGAATTCTAATCGCCAAAAAGTTATGTGGGGCGGAAGTGTCGCAAAAATAATTTTCGGTTAAGTTGTTACCAATACAGGGTTACCAAAGAGCTGTTGTTCTCTTGATCGCCATTTACGGGCTTTATGCTAACCCCCTGACCGTGGCGATAATCACGATGGGGTCGGGCTATATATATACATATTTGCTCGTGTTCGTCTCGAATTATGGGACAGAGCGGGAATTTAGCGGTAAGAGGCGACATTAAAGGCACTAGTATAGTTATTACACCAGCAGCCAACTGGTGGCGCAACAACGGGAGCCCCGCGACAAAGATATTTCCTTGCAACATCCTTCAGCCGTTCGGTTACACATTACGATCAGCCGTGAACTCAGAATGTCAGTCACCCAATAATTCCTTAGAACTGGAACGATGTTATTTGGACTTTTTAAGCGAGTTTAAATAGCGCTAGAGAGAAGTCGCACGGCCGAGGCTTTGAATATAGAACCAGAATAAAGCAAGTACGTCTTCTTATTATAATTAAGCATGGACAAAGGGAACGGCTAGTTAACAGGCCACCATCTGAGGGTTAAAGTTCCTTTGTCCTTAGTTCGTAAGTTTCTACAGTTTAATTCAGTCAAAACCTAAATGTAATAGATACGTATGCACATAAAGAACAAAACTCGCTTGTGCACTAGTCGATGCTCATTCTAACTTCAGGCTCAAAAGCAAGGATTTAGGAGGAAATGACACGACAAGTGTAGTGTTTATTTTATTCAGCTTCGTCCCGCCTAGCTCAAGAAAGGAAAGATCGAAACATGTTTGTAGTTGTTGAGTGTCCGTAATATGAAAGCATTCATTTTCATAACCTTGTTATAATTTTTAATGCAGTCGACAAGATGAACTTGCGAGTTACCGGCCAACGCGCATTCCCAAATCGCACGCTTGTCAGACGCTATGCACTGCTCGAAAATATAATGTTGTCAGTCAGATTTAATGCAACCCTCACCAGTATCAATATCGCCCCTCCCGAGAAACACTACCCACTGCACTAGTAATAATAAGTGATAGGCTTACAACATATACCATTGTTAAGATAAAAAAAAATCGAAGCTCATTATCGATCCCGGTGGCTTGTATAAAACTCGGCAGGGCATAAACTGCATAATAAAATGGCAGGGAATGCAGAACGGGGGGGGGGGGGGGTACATTCCGTTATATCATACAACAATAATGTCAATACCACACAATAATAGTCATATATAATAATAATGTGTGTCTTCAGGAAATACGATTTGTTGATGTTTCGGAGAGCACTCGTATATATTAAGATATGAATTTTTGGAAAGGAACCGTTTAGCAATTCAAACACCCGACCACTGGTCGCTAATACTAGGCGGATGAAACTGAAAGGCAGGCAAAATACCGTACCCTCTGATTTCGATTTTCCCAGTGTCTCCAGTTAGCACCTTGACAACCATGAGGTCAGAAAGGTAAAGGTCACTGTCAGTAACCATCTCGCTTGCAAACATTTGCGTTCCTGACGCATCGAGTAGCATGTTCGCGGGGCATAAATGAATGCACATTCTGCTCGAAATCGAACCTTTAAGCAGAAAATGCGTGAATAGGTCATAGGATATATGGCAATGTTGCGGGGTAAAGCCGGGTAGATTTGGCTCATGTTGGAACCGCGGAGGCCAAGAGTACAAGAATCACCGTGTCATACAAAGCTGACAGCAGCAAGTACCGCAGATTGCAGATGCTAGCAAAAATAAAAAAAGAACTACAAAAAATATTGAATTTGTACATATTCCACTAGTTTAGACTTAAAGTTACTAACAAGGTGTTAATGAATGGCGGTGTTGAGTTGAAGGTGGTTACTCTAGATGGGTAAAGGATGGATATAGCCAAACGCCTATCTCATCTGCAAACTTAAGTTAATCGACTGTCTGTTTGACTGTGAAGATTGCTGCCTTAAGTCTATAAAGCGTAACATAGTGCGGCTGCCATATCCACATTGTACATGTACATTCCCCAGTATAATTATGAAGATGATGACGATGATCATCAAAAAGGTAACCATCATAAGAATGCCATCCTCATATTTGATTAACCTATAAACATATTGCAATTTACAGATCGGTAAAAAACATTCACTTACCACATGGACCTTAAGTTCTCACTGCAAGATTATAAAGGTCTGTATTTTTTGATGAACCTACAATCACCTCGAAACGTGGCTGAAGCGTACTACAAGCTAAATGTATTAAATTTGTCATATTTTTGTGCTTCTTAAAATTGAGCAGTGACCACGCATATTTTTAAATGGGAAGGAAACTTAATACTATAAAAATGAAACCACGCTTTCACAATCAAGACCTTATCGTGAGATTTCAACATCCTCGGAGTATCTTATCATATTGGCATACATGTGTACAAAATTTGCTTGTAAAACAGAAGTTCTTCAAACTTCGTGTGTTTTTATGTTTAGAAAATTGAAACGTTTCATGTAAATCTTAAATCCACTGTTGGCACGTATGCTCGGTAAAGAAATTAAACAATTGCTTTATGAATTACTGAAAAGCTATATAGATAGGTGGTTATAGATTTGATATGGTCGATGGCACAACTTCCCACATATTGCAGAAAAAAGAAAACTGAAAATCTGTTTTACTATCTAAATGGCCATAATCACTTTTTGCGTTTAAAGCGCGATTTCAATTTGTGCAGGGATGAGGCTATAGAAACGGTGGTATTCTCGAGCGGGTGCATTCTGTTTTTGGCAATCTAATTACTTTTGTAATTTTAAAAAACTTCCTTGCAACCAGAGAATATAGAGATTTGCAGGTTTTAACAAACTAGAGCATACCGCTAGATGGCTGTCCAAAAAAAACCGATTTGCTCTGAAATCCTATTTATAATTATGTTTGATTAATCCAGTGTTGTGAATCCATTTCAGTTCACCTGTGCACAATTTTGCACCAGCACAAAACGTAGTCAAATAGTAACACAATAAGTTCAAGTTATTCGTTTTACGGTACCTTCACAGCAATCGTCGCAAATGAGTTTGAATTATTCACAATATTTTCAAACAATACACAACTTTGAGTCGACAATAAGTTACGCAGCTGTTTTATGTTACCAGCTGTTGTATCTGTACAGAGATGTGACGAGAGAAATATACATCTTGAGTATCAACAAGGCATTAGAAAGGAAGATGTTGTTGACACTTGCAAGAGCCACTTACTTGCAGGGGTGTTAAGCTAGATCACAATGTGTCAAGGTTGTTATCGTCTCTCTAAAAAATCTCATGTTTTTTAAGTTACATTTACATTTGCCAGCGCCCTCAATTATGTACAATTAATTACAATGATGTTGATCTCTACTAACGTTGTCGGCCAACTCCAACTCCTCCCACTACTCACATGTAAGATTATCGTGATGTAAGCAGGAAGCTATAAAAAAATTCCTTTATGGTCACAACTACATGCCGAAATCTAAAATAGGCATCGTGTCCTTAGATGAACATCACCCATTCCATTTTCTTGACATGTCCAAGAGGATTAATTTCTTTCTATAGTGACAAGATGACAATTATTAGTAATCACATTCTATCGATTTCAGTAATGTTCGCCTTGATTCAACAGTAGTTAAGTTCCAACTATTTTAAGTAATAAATAGTGGGCAAACAAACTGAACAACATTATTTGTTGTTTTGTTGCTGACCGCTCGCTTACGAGAATGTGTTGTGTTACAATTCAACATGTGCCATACCGCCTTCTCAGACATAACTTCTAACCCGATGAAAGCTATGATTTTACAGTGAATGCCTTCATAAAATAATAAAGAAATCATGGGTGTACCTCAGCAGCTAGCAAATTCATCCAACTTCACAACAATAATAGTTACCTTATAGGCAGACAAAGGGAGCTAGTTGCAACGGGTATTAGTGAACGATTTATGATATCTCATATGGAGAATTGGTTGAAAAAAATGAATGCGGAACGTGAGCAAGGGACGAAGACAAAGGCGATACGGGAACTAAAGGGTTCGCAGAAAAGCGCCAATTTCAACAGGCATAGCAGACGATCCTGACACACGATAATAATGATATATTAATAAAAAAAATCACAATAGTAATAATGGCAATGCAGACAGTCGCAAATGTTAAGTGTTACAACATTATACAATAGTTATAATGATGATATTAAGGTTAGATCCAGTAAATAGATAAACAAATCTATGTAATTACGATGATGTTATTAATAATTAACTGTATTTAACTAAACCACAGCACCTTCAGCCAGAACGAAAGGAGATGATGTAAACGGTTATTAATTATTACGCTGTAATAACAACTCAATATTAAAGCGAATTGTTGTGCCGCACCGCTAGAATCGCCGAAGCGAGGAAGCAGACCGACTAAAACGGTATGGCGCTGGCCATGCCTTGAATGTTATTTTTCTTTGTTTCTTTCTTTGAGAGGACAAACATACGACTGACACCAGCTCCTTGTGACTCGTTAACACTAGTACGTGGTATAGTATATAGAGTAACGTATTTTTTGGTACACATAACGAACGTTTTGAAATAATTACGATTTACAATAGTAATTGTAATTCGGCAGACAGACGCATAGCGGTTGCTCCTCGTATCACAGAATCATAAATTATTTACAGCGTTTGCATAGGGTTCTGCGGCTCAGCAGTGCTGGCGCCGATGAGCGTCACCTTGATCTGATGATGGAGTGATTTGTCGTTGTTTGTTCGACCCTGCACGATTTCAGGGAACAAAGGCGCATAATGCAATTAACTATATAATTTGCGGTGATAATAATATTAGGAAAAATTATTATTAGCATTAATTGGTCGCTAAATGAGGGCGATGATGCAAAGACAAAAGAAGAAGAATCCCAGCCAAAATGTGATATAATTTTCTTTCCTAGACCTACTATATCGCTACTATAATGCTATGACAAACCAATAGTATAGGAATAATGATTGTGATGCTGAAGGTAATGATGATGTTCACGATGGTGGCGATGACATCTGAAACAATAGCAACCTTCAAGGTAATGAGCGAGCGCAAAAGAGACCAGTGCTTCATTATTCCACAAACTAATATTAACAATAATAATAAGAAAAAATAACAGCAAAAATATCGTAGCTAACGAAATAATAATGATGATGATGAGATCTAACGACGAGAAACTGATCCTTTTTGCGAAACGCGTGCCATGAAGATCACCTAGATGGTGGGACGTCCATGGTTGCCCTTGCAAAGCTTTTATTTTTTTCCTAGCCAAAAAGAAAGATCGAATTGCATAGTGATTATACGGAAAAGAACCTAGCATTCAACAAATCAATACGACTTTGAGGAAATTGAAAACTAGCCATCATCATCATCATTACCGGTAAAGTGGAAATGCTATCTTCAGACTAAATACTAGCAGGATAAAAGATTGGTATATTATATAGACGAAAACTAGTTCCAAAGAGAAGGTATTGCATTCAATAAGCAATACAATAGATGTTAGATACAACACAATAGAATAGGTATCAATCAGCCAAAAAAGCAACGCTGTCATTCTGGAAAGTTGGAAGTTCCTTCCGCTTTGTACTCACCAATCAAACATTACAATGACGCATGTACATTCGCCCGTTTTTGTCAACGAATGCATGAATAGAAGAGACAATAAGCAAAGGTTAGCCGCCGTTTTGGCTGCATTCGTATACAAAAAAAGTACACAAACAATAGTCCACTTGTCGTTATTGCGTATTGGCTGCAGTTCTTCGATTATCTTAGTTGTTGTTTAGCACAGAGTATCGCATTAATATGATTGGCAACGTTGCAATACGGCGGATGGTGGATATACAGATACGATTCCAACGAAAACGAACTGTGACTTGCAGCGATGATTCTGAAGGACAATTTCGCTTGCAGTATTATTTATTAAAAAGTTTATTTTACTTGGTGTTACATCTTTCCCATCCCAGGTTGAAGCTGCCTCGCGTAGTGGTACCGCCACTAAACGTACCGCTCATGAGGCAGCATGATAAAATGACAAGGCAAAATAATGAGTAGAAATTTGCATCCACGACTTGCAGCTGGTCAATAATGAACATAATAAATAAATAAACTAAATTGATAGATGATCTGTTGGTTGTTGATAACGATGGGGCTGGATCATAATTAT